ACTCTCACAAAGTTTCCATCATGAGACAGCAGTTTGGGATAACAGGGACCTGCATCCCAGCTGCCCACTACTCCCAGATCCAGCCAGGTTTAAGTTCCCACATCTTACAAATCTGGAGGCTGGGGACCAGCATACTACTCCCAAAAGAGGAAATGAAGAAAGATATTAAAAATAAATACATGCATTTACTCTTATCTGGGGGATTTCTTAAGACTGAGTCAAAGAGCTGAACCAGTTTACTTAGGGTTTACTGCATCTGGTGTAATAACGTTTATTAACATGGGATTAATTCACATTTGTCTTTGAACACCCAGGCTGGATGTGAGTAACTGCAGTTAAGTAGCCAGAAGTTCAGGCTGCTGTAATCTCACAACTAACTCATTCACCATAGCACACGCTAACAGGGAAGATGCTGTGACTTTACTTGCCCTGCAGTGAACTGGGCCAGTCTGTGGTGCCTTGTCAGCTCCTCCATGCTGTGGGAAAACCAGTGGAGAGATCTGTGCATACAAATAGTAAGTGGGAAAGCAAGGGCAAATCAATAGCAATCAGATGATAGAGTGCACATCCATGCTGAAAATCCCCAATGAAAACAACATGAGTTACAGACCACCCATCAACCATGCAAGTTAGCACAGCTTTGAATTTAGCTCAGGTGTGTTTGTACGTAGCAGTGATACCCAAGCATGAACCTGACTATGGATTTAGCTACCAGTGTAACTGTCTTGTAGGCAACTGTTCCTGGAAGAAAATGTTATTTCTGGCATACAAACTTAATTCGTTCTCTGTTAGCACACACCTGCTGGTGGCAGCACCACTGTGGCAACTCTGCTCTGCCGGCACAAGGGCCTATTGCCCCACATGGATGAGCTGACTCTGAAGCAGAGCCACAGCATTTCTGAGGCCTATCACAGAAGGGGTAACCCTGTGGTGTTTCTGTTGCCAGCTGAACTGCCAGAAGCAGGCGCCAGCCTCCTGTTAAGGCTGCAGTTCCCTGTTACTGCAGCCCGCAGTTTGGACAATCAGCCTGATGAAGGGCAAACCAGAACTGCTTTTGTGAAACTGTCACCTCAGAGGCCTTCAGCAAGGCCACCATTCAGCAGAGTCTATTGAGAACTGCTCTCCCTCTTCTGCTGTCTCCTCATGCTTACTTAGTACAGCCTGAGTAGGCCCAATGCCTTTCTAGGCATTTCCAGTCTCATGATTGACTGCTTGCGGCTGTCACATGAGTGACTGGCATGCCCCTCTGCATTAGCCAAGACTATTCTTAGCAGGCAGGAAAGAAACAGAGGCAGGGATTTCAGCTACATAGACTACAACCTTCTGTTGTTCACAGGTTGAGTCACTTTTTGGCACCCTCATGGAAGCATTTGGCTAACAAACTCTATTCACTTTCCTCGTCAGAAACACCCATACCAGCAACTCATTCCACTGGGACAGGCCGAAGCACGGCCCTGTCAGGGAGCAGCAGAGCACAACTCATGGAGGTACGCACAGCAGCAGCTCTGCATAGCGTCCACTCATCTGGTGCCCCTGATGGTCAAGTTAGTGTATAGCAAGAGAAAAACAGAGCTTGCTAAGATGCACTGAAAACTTCTGACAGGAAAAGTAAGCTCATCTAAGTATAATTTGAACATCAAGTACAATTTAGTTTGGCCTGAGAAGGATCTGTTGCAGAAAAACATATTCTGTTTCACAGAAGCTAGAGACAGTGCTTTAAATGTTTTTATTCCCTTCTCTCTCCACTTTTGCTCTTGTTTCCAGCTGTCACTGTTTCAAGCTGTCACTTCTCACAAGTGATTCAAGCATGCCTTTGGAGACCTCCTGGAACAGAGCTGGTATAGCCCTGCTCCTCAGTAAGATCTACCCTCCTTTGCCTTCCATCACATCTATCTTGGAGCATCAGGATGGAAGAGAACATCACTTTCTGCAGAAGCACAGAGGCAGAGATATTAGCAGGACTCTTTTGCTTGTACTGCATAATGAGGAAGTCAGTATGATGAGAAAAAATTCACTTTTTTCTTGTTCAAGATATACTGGTATTTCTGCCCAATGAAACATGCTTGCAAACATCCCGTCTTCCACATTAAGAATGTGGAATTATTAATTATTATGTCCTTAAACATGTTTTGTGACATTTTGTGGAATTATTAGTTATTATGTCCTTAAACATGTTTTGTGACATTTTTTTTTTCCATGTGTAAACAGTACCCACATCAGGTCACTGCTCTGTGAACATTCAGTATTACAAGCCTCTCCCCAGTATAAAAAGCAATCAGTAATCTTTTAAAAAGCACCATAAGAATACAGAACTCTTAACTTTTACTTAAGTTCTGAAAGTGTTCTTTGTGATGAGACTTGCAATGAAGTTACACAAGTCGGCAACAGTGCCATTAATTTTATCAGCTCCCCAAGTGCTTCTATTCACACATCAGAGTGTCCACAGCCAACTCAGGCACCTCGGAATACTTTTTCATTCCCCAGTCTTTGTCACAGAATTTGAGAACTGACTTGACATCCCATTTACTGAAGACCCCTCCCAGTGCTACAGTACCAATAGCAATCTTGTTGCCTGCTGTTGTCTCCTGCCCCATTTGTTTTAGGCCAATTGCCCTTAATTACAGTATTTAGAAGTCAACCAGTGATCCCAAGGCACAGGCTGTTTTGAGGAGTTCATCCAGCAGAGCAAGTAGAAAAAAAAATTGCTTCTTGTATTTACATCGAAGAGTGCTTCTTGGAAAATAAGCATACCCTATCTCCTTCCAAACTGATCTTACTTGCTGTGGTATACGAGAGATTAGAGCTTGAAAAAAAAAAAAATATTTGAGAAACTACTAACACTCTTATAGAAAAAAAAAAAAAAAAAAATCAAACAAAAATACTTACCTGGGTTGATGGTCAGTATTTTATAGCAATCACTTGACTTGCATGAGGAGTCCAGTGTGTTTCTATCCTAAAGTCAAACTCCAGTATGTTTCTATCCTAACGTCAAACTCCAGTACAGTTTTGACAAGAACAGGAATTATTCTAGTATAGAATACTAGCAGCTGTTTAGAAATCCAGAAAGACCAGGAAGCAACAGTACTTTTACCAGCATTTCTTAGGGGCCAACACCAGAATAAAAAGCATATCCTTCATACATAGCCACAGACTTAAGACTGTAGTTGTAATCTTTTAAAAAATCCATCAACCAGAACAGTTATTTTTCTAGAAAGGGTTTTAAATATACACACACTATTATAATAATGTAGTGTGTGTAGTATGTACCAACTGCTTTTTTTTCTTTTTTTTTTTTTAATATTTACTTCTTTCCATATTGGAGGAAGAGCTCATAACACCAATCTTATTCTCACACCTATGCTTTAAGAAATCAATTCTAATTAGTCCAGCATTAGTTGTGCAAATATGCTCAGTCTCTGTGCAATATTTGGCAGCTCTGGAAGTTGGCAGATTTTCGAAGTCCAAGATTAACAATTCAGTACACATTTTAAGTGATGAGCAGTAAATAAGACTGGCACCTACACATTTAGTAAGTAAACATAAACTACTTCCTCTCAGTGAACAAAAAGCTTGCTGAAGAAAGAGATAGGATGCAACAAGATAATAAACAGTTTGTAGATACTAAAGATATTTTAATGTCCTCCATTCAATTTATGGGGGGAGTAGTTTCTGTTCCATATCAGATGTCCTTAAAAGACTATTGGAAGTCTGAAAAATAAATAAATAAATAAAAGTTAAATGGTCTCAAAAGGGCAGTCTGGTTACCCTCAAATTCTCTCTAATGAGGTTGTAGGCTACTGAGAGGTGTTTCACACCCCAGACTGAATCCCATCTGCATAGACTGTTTTTTTTATTTCTTCTCATTACAGCAATTCTTTATCCCTTCTAGCTCTGACTGTAGTAGGTACATGGATAAGTGCAAGTTATGGTGGAGGGGAAAGATTTTTATTCAAAGTCCACACTTCTAAGTAGTATTATAACATATTCTGGGAAGCAGGCAATAATGTACTCTGGAAGTTTTCCCAATCTGTATTTACACCACAAAAAGCACGTACTTGTTTAAAGTTGCCAGAACACATCTTACTGGTTCCCAGAATATTAGACCAAAGGCCGCAGTAAGCACATTGCTACTGGTACCCACGACCTTACTTCTGTCTCCCCTTCTTCCTTGCAAGCTTTAGTTTTTAAGAAAAGTATATTGCCACATCCATTTCTCTTTTTGAATCTCCTCCTTAACAACTGTCCAATAATGATACACAGAAGGACTTTGTATTCAGAATTCTCTCTAAATTATCAGGTTGATCAAGGTTTTATAATTCTGAGGGAAGTAAATGAGAAAATTTCTAGAAGTTCAATATGTTAAAATTTACCTGGCTCAGCCCTAATGAGAGAAAGTTTCAGCTGGATTAAGGTCATAAAATATATTTCAAAATTGCCATTTGCAAGTATGATTATACAACTCCAGGGCAGACAGCATACTTGGTATGCTATTTAAATACCTCCATAGGAATGAGTTTCCTGTTCATCCTTTTTACATACTAGATGGCTGAAATCAGTGACTCAAAGCAGTAACAGGTCTAGCATGCAAACCTATTAAAAATTTCATAACTTCACTTTTTCAGTTTTTCCACTAGTTTGTGCACTGACTGTCGATTTAGTGCAGCACTGCTCACTACCATACCTAGAGATGCTACAGCCATCTTCAGCTGAAAAGTCTTCAAGAGCCATCTTGTCATACTTAACTGAGATCTAACAATTTTATTTTTTTTTTAAACTTTTTAATAGCAAAAATATTTAAATTATTTGCCAAATCAACATACAGCTTGAAAAAACTCATGCACACCAACATATACTAGGCAGCATGCATTCTCACACCAGTAAAACAGCTGTGAGATAAATACAACTCTAAACCCTAGATTACTCCAGTTAACTTTTATGGTCACAACACTAACAGAGATAATGAAGCCACCATTTTATATGTAAAGTAAATCAAACATCTGTCATCTTTCAAACATTTTATTTTGGTACTTTTAAATATGTTTTAATACAACAAAGATATAAAACAATATATTAATTCAATCTGAGTTTAGAATCAAACAATATTTACTTATTTACAGTACTTACGTTAAACTTCACTGGCATACCTTCTAGCCATTAAGTAATACTATTTTCTCTGTCAGAGCAAAATTAAAGTAACTACTCAGTGCGACAAGTCCTGTTTCTGCATCCCTATTATGTTAAGTACCATATACAATGCAGTTTGTGGTTACTTGCATTTGACAAAATTTCTCTTATTTGACAAAACTGAATTGAAAAAGACAGCAAAACCAAGTTATAGGTAGTCTTCAACTACATAGTCACTGGGCTGACACGTCAGGTTATTGTGCTCCACGTTTATCTTAAATTCTTATACGCGTATTACAAACTGGCTTTAAAAATGTGCACATCACTGAATTATGTACATAATGCTCACTGCAACTTTCTTAAAATACAAACAGTAAGTATGCAGGAAACTACTATATGGATGGTTCAGAGTTCATATTTTAGTGTTCAAAGGGCTGTTAGTTTTTGGGATATCCATAACACAATGAGAAAGACACCTGCACGTTCATTCCAAAGTACTTTTTTTCCTACAACAAATACCATTTCAATGTCAAACAGTTACATGTCAAAGATGCATGAGAAAGAGTAAACTGTATTAATCATCACTGGTCTATCAATTAATCCTTGTTTCATAGTCTACATGTGCAAAATAATTTAGAGGGCAAGCGGCTCACTGCTAGGATTTCTGCCAAATAAATTTCCTACTTAAAGATAATGGTGGTTTTTGTAGTTACAGGTCAAGTTTGCGTAAAGGAATCCTACATTAGTAAAACAAACCAACCAACCAACAAAAATAGAAAAGTAATACTGCTTGCAGATTCCAGCAAACTCTCCCCAACATTTCAGTAGAAACTACATGGATTAGACAGAACAAAATAGTGTTTGTCAGAATCATTATAGGCGACTTTTCTTTTGTTACACATGCTTCACATCCACACAACCTACCTTTTATCCAAGACATCTGCTATTTCTACAAATGCACATTTAAGGATTGCATTTCAGCTCCACAATACTTTAGATGCTTAAAAACCCCAGTGGATTTTAGCATACCAAAAAAAAAAACCTAGCTAAACAGTAATGGACAAGTGTAGCAATGAAGTGTGCAAATGGTGCTTAATTAAAAAACAAAAACATGAGATTCTAACTGTTACAAAAGACTTGTTTTGACATCTCAGTCCAACCCTTCCCTCTTTCCCTTAGATACTCTTTTTGGCACTACACGAGTCGTCACCACATATAGATAGCCATACAGAACAGGTTATTATAGGAACCTGCACTTTTATGTTTATTGAAGGATTTCAAGTAATTCTTAATATTATTGATATTTAACATGCTTATATCATTTTATTTTTTTTTTAAATCATTTAACCAACTCTGGCTTCTTAGTCACCTAGCTATCAATTCTATTTTATTGTAGTTTTTATTAAGAGTTGTTCTCTCAGAAGAGTATGTGTATGTCAGTAACTTCTTTTAAATTCTACTGGAATGTTTTCTTCCAAGACAGATGTGAAAAACAAACAAACAAACAGGGAAAACAAAATAAACTGATACTTTCTATTCCCATTACTTATCAGTATGCAACTCCTATACAGCACGCACCTTGTCTAATCCAAGGAAATGCTTAAACTAAAATGGTAACCTTCACTAAAGCCAGAATATTTAGCTATTTGTTTAAAGTTAAGCCTATAATTAGCTGTACCACAAGCAATACACTTACAGGATCCAATTCTTGTTAGTCTTGGAAATTTGAAAATTTCAGGCCTATCTACATTTTCATACTGTCACTTGGTATTAGTGTTATCTTGTTTACCAGAGGACATTAAAATAATTAACATATATGGAAGCTTTCTATATCATTATTCAAGAACAGCTGGAGGAACCTTGCTTAAAGATCCTTTCACAAGCTTTTTTTATTAGTGTAATCATAGTTTATTAAAAAACACTTCTATGGAAACCTTACATCTGTATGCAGATACAGTATCACAGCACCACTAGTTTCTCTGACTGTTTAATGGATCTTAAAGAGAGAAAAAAATAGAAGTAAAATGTTTAGGAAAATTATTCTAAAAAGTTATGTCATAAGGTATAAGAAAAAAAAAAAAAGATGGATAAGTGGCTGTACCTATCACCATCAGGTTGGTGCATACATATATGTTTACACACTACCTCCAAGCATAAGCCCAAACTGATAACAAGGAGGAGCTCAAGACTATTGTCAAGTCCCAAATATTACTAGATTTTCTAAGTTACAGGAAAAAAAAAAAAAAAAAAAAAAGGAGGGTGAGGAAGGAACGGGACTCTCCCCTTCTCTAGTATATCCATCATGAAAAAGTTAGACAGACTTTTTTACTTGATTAGTTTATGCACTTCATAGTCCTGAGTCACACTGTTAAGACACCTGCACCTGCTGACACAAAGCAGCAACTCTTTCCTTTCTCTGAATTCAGATGTGTGTGCTCCCACAGATCACAGAAGATAACTTAGCACACAACAGATGCAGCAAGTTGAGGAGAGCAAAGAGACTGGTGCGCCAACATAAGGGAGAAGGACAATGCTGAAGATACTTAACATTAAATCCAAGGCCCAACAATGCTCTGCTGCCTTTACTTAAAAAGGCTTGTCAGCAGCAGTGAAGCAGCAAAATGCTTTTAGACCACTGACTCTTCTAAAAGGAGGTACAGAATTTTAAGCCTGTCAGTCATTTGCAATTCGTTTTCATCTCATTAATAAGAAACCTTACATTATCAGATTTTCAGATCAACTGTGATCTTTTAGCATTTGAAATCAGATTTTCTTTTATCATTATTTATTATTCTTTTTTCTTTTTCCTCTTGGGTGTTTACAGATAGACAACACTAATTTCCAAAACAGAAAAGCACAATTATCCTGACAATGTTTTAACCCACTTCAGTTCTCACAAGAGCTACCTCTTTATATTACTCTCATACGCAAACATCTAGCAGCAAGAAAACATATAGATAGCACAGAAAAAACAAGCTTTCATTAAAAAACACTGACAAGCAACGCTGATTTAAAATATGGATTTACTTAAGAGAATTTGGAAAAAATATTAAAAAAAAAAAAAAAGAAGCCTTATGCTTCAAAGTATGTGAACTTCACTTAAAAATATTGAAATAGTAGCTTTGCTTTATGTAAACATTGTTACACTGGGCTGTACTTGGAAATTCTCCTGTATGCCTAAATTGCAAAATATTTTTTTTCAGTTTAGACACAGCTATGCTGGTCAGTACTGATATTTCTTTTTAGAATGAAGAGCTTTACAAGTTTCATTGCATGCCCCTCCACATGTCAGTACTCGGAATAAAACCCCCTGCATATCCTGACAACAGAAGTTTTCCTAGAGTTTAAAAAACAGTATTTGTAACCCTGTGTGCATTGCAAAGGCAAATACAAATTAACAAATAGAGGTCTTTGATTATAAAGTCTCAAGAGGAATGTTTAAATTGCCTTTCTGAAATCAGAAAGGTAAGGACAGCGAGTGAATAGTCTTTATGTCTTTAAGATTATTTTTTCCCCCTTAAGTGCCAGCACACTCCCCCAGTTTGGATGACAAGAGCCACTACACTATAGCAGATTGCACAATATAGCAATATACTTGGAATTTTGCTGAAAACTGGAATGTTAAAAACATGAAGTATGCGCAATAGTACAATGTGTGTGTGCTCAATATAGTTTGCATACTTTTTAAGATGCACAATTCCTCTGTGGTATAGGAGCTAAATGAAGTAACAAAAGTAATATATCATGAAAAGTGCATGATAGTCAAGTTAGTACAATCCAGGCTTATAAAAGGAACACAACACAGACAACTGCAAAATTCCACCAAAGGGATCCTTCTCTATGCAAGCTTAAGCACACTACAGTCATCAAGGCAGCCTGTACCAAGCCAGAAAATGCTTCATGCAACTTTCCAAGGCTGACTTAGGCTATGACTTTTGTTCATACTACCTATTCTGAAATTCTAACAACAAATTAGAAAGGCTACAACAGTTTAAGATTTGCACTTTTTACTTATCCACTTCCATTAAGCATAAATCTCATTTCAGGCCTCTGCAGCCAACATTAGTATTGTCGCCTTACAAACCATTGCATAAGAGGTCACCGTCTGTGATCCTTGCTTATGCATTAGGCAGTGTGTTGTTGTTTTGTTTTTTTAAACAACCAAAAGTCAACTGTTTATAGTACTTTCTTTCAGCATAATAAATGAAGAACTTAAATTAAGAACTAGTCTTTTTCATTTTGTTAGAAGAACATATACTGTGTGCATATATATATACAAATATACTGTGTATATATATCCAGAGATATTCACCATATTGTTGACACCAGAGTGCTAAAACATACATCAATATGAGCACTATTTCCAAAACTCACTATTATTACTTTTCCTGAAAGAATTACTACATGCATTTCCCCGTCCATTTATGGGACAGTAAGATATGTGAAGATAACTGTTCTGTTCCTCCAGTGTTAAAGAGCTGCTCCTAAAAAGCATGCATAGGGCTGGGTACAAAGCAATTAAAACCACACAGAAAAATTACGTTGTGGCTTTAAACGCACTAAAGCTAAATTAATATTACTTTCAGTGGATGCAGCATTTACTTTAACTCATTTATTTAAAACAAAAGGGAAAACTTCCAGGTGCCAGAACAACCATATAGACAGTTGACAGACTAGACTAAATAACCTCTCATCGAAAAAAACACAAAACATCATTCCATAGCCACAAGGCAGACTTTCATTTTTGGCAATCCATACACAGACCATTTATATTGTCAATTATACTTTAAGACTTACTATTAACAGTTAAGAGACTCTTTTAGCAAGGAACTATATTGTTTTCCTCATTATGACACAGTACTCCTCAATCTTTAAGTATACACAGAGTTTGTTTTAAGAATTAAATTTTTGACTGTTTTAAAAGAAAGTCATTGTAAGGTTCTAATTTTTAGTCAGTGTACATAAAGGCTGGCATGTCAGGTAAAGGTGATTAACTGGACCTGTAAATGGTATATTATATTCAGTACAAGCACACATTTGAAGTGACTTGAAATTACTTAAACATTCACACAGAACCTTACTACTCTGGTTTGTAGTTATGATTCACTGATTGCCTCTACCAGTCCCCGTGTTGTCTTCCATTAAAACAGGAACAAAACTTATCCCTGCAGAGTGTGGCAACCCCGTTCTATGGCTAAGAATCTAAGAAGCACGACAAGGAGGCAGTGGCCACGGAGTGAAAACTGTTACTTCATGTCCCCTCCAGCTAGCGTTGTAGGGTCTTAGTCATAACAGTTCATAAAAATCTCAACTGACACACACACTCTTCAGCCAATCAGTCTTTTCATTATCGTAGGTTTTGAAAATGGCCAGCAATACTCATTGGGAACAGTACCATTAACATTGCATTCAAAGAAAGAAAACATTGGAAACCAGATCCTTGCTCTTCTACTCTGCTGATATGCTCTCGTATTAGCCAACGTGTGGTAATATAAAAAGAGTCTTGTAGTGATGTAAAAGGCAATGAAGACATCAATAGAGTAATGTTCATGTGCAGCCAAAATGAAGAAGATTCCAAAGAGGTTCAGGACCCAGGATAAGGTGTGCAAGAAGTTCCAGCTCCTTGGCGTATCTAGGAGAAAACAGAAAGGAACTGACCTGGAGTGTCTCATATTGCTGGGCTGAAAAGTGCACAGTTGACAACAAGAAGTAGAAATCAATACAATTCCCTTTTGTTACATATATAAAGTTTCTTGTGAATATATGAAGTTCTTTGAACTATTTCTATAGCAGGAAGCATTTCATGAATGAGATACAGAATATGCAATTCAATGCAGGACTAAACCCAGTAAGTTTATGTGCAGTTTTTTCCATCCAAAATGTGATGAAATTGTCGTCTTTGTCTGGAAGCTTTGTTTACATTCACACATCCAATAAATTCAGTAAGAACAAGTTATAAATGTCAACCACTTCATTACTGCTTTACAGATACAGCTGCTACTATTCTTTTTCAGAATTAACACAGCATACTAAAGTTCCTCAGGACCATGAAAATCAGAATTTCGTCCCATTGACTATTGTTAATGAAAATCATGCCTTTTACATGTGTAAGGGGAAATATAACAAAGTATACATAATTCTGTTATTTCAGTCATTCGATCAAATGTGAACTCAGGCTAATTATTTTAGCTTGCTATAATGATGTATCTAATAACACCTCATATTTACAGAAGAACTCTGTTTCATTTATTCTCACTCATGAGGTTTCCTATTTTGGATCTGCAGATTATACTAAAGGTAAATAAACCTAGACTGGGCTTTTGTCTGATGTGTCACTGTCAGATACAAAGGTAACAGAAAATCATTAATACTTTCCCTAGTATTCTAGTTACAAAGCCTTTCTGATTTCCTGGCTCACTTCACTTGTTTTTTCCCATGTGCCCTATTTATCCTTCCATTAATTTACATGGTTCTGCTCCTTTACTGTCTGCAAGTTAACTGTCACAAACCTGAGAAAAAGCCCATGATTTAAATTTGTTAGCTTTAATATCACTCAGCGTGCCTTTGGCTGAGGGCAAGCGGCAGAGAATACTTAAGGACATTAAAGTATTTACACTCTTGCACCTGTGGTTGACAGCAAACAGTACAAATTCTTAACACTTCAGGACATTCAAGTATTGACACTGTGTACTTACATTCTGTGACAAAGAAGTTGAGCATGGTCAGGACAACAGTGTGGCCACTGAACATGTAATCGCCACACGTATGTACTCCAGTCAGAGTCATTCCAAAGCCACTCCATATTGCAAATGCCCGCTGGAGTTTTGCCCAAACATTGCCGTACAACTAAAAGACAGTACCATTAACCTTTAGTAAGTTCCTCCCCAGCCCAAACAATATACCCTTAAAGTTATACCACAGACAACTAGAAATTAGCTGTTTAGCACTATGTATGTTTAGTAGCATTGATCATTTTGTGCCTTTTATTAAAATACACATTTGCACACCTTTAGATTTTATTGTGGCAGTCAGTCCCATTAGTAACTACAATTAGTACCTCTGATTAATCCTGGCATTTAGAGTAAGTATTTTGTTGCAAGTAATTTACATACCAAGTCTGCCACCTTTTTTTTTTTTTCCTTCCCCCAAATGCATTCTACCTCCCAATGTGTCTTTGTCAGTCTTCCAGTATTCAGCTCAAACTTCTTCCAACTAAAAGCTAAGATAAAAATACTAGATCCCATGTTCTATGGAATATTTCTTCTTAGATAGGGTGAAATACTTTTTTCAAAACAAAGCATCCAACAAGACAAAGTGACTATTCCACTTTCATCTTGTCTTTGTTAAGTCTGTGTCTTAAGTGCTTATTTCTCTGATGTATTCTCTTCAATTTATGTTGTGAAATAGTCTGAATGCCCCCCTGCTTCCCTTCACCAAGTCACCATCTCCTCCCCAATGCAGCAGGTGTTTCTAAGACCCCTAAGGATGCATACATGCACAATAGCAACTAATAAAGTTAGGGATGGAGGGGAAGATAAGAGCAATGTGCTATTCTAACAAATACACACCTAGCATGATGGTTACCGTAATCGTAACCATAACTTAAATAAAACTTAAAAATATGCATTTTAAAAAAATCCTGAGAAAGAATTTAAAGCATTTAAAGTTTTTACCTTTCCAGTACACTGCAAGTGCTGGCCTGGCACGGAGAGCGAGGTAACAAACATTGTAACGCAACGTAGCAAGAATACTGTCCCCATGAGGCTGCACAGCCTTCGCAGAAGTATAGACCTGGGAAAAAATATATAGGAACTGACAGTAAGAATACTAATATATCGTATTTTTATGAAGAAAACATTTCCTCCCACCACAGCTTAATTCCATTAGGTCCTTTCACCATTGTTCCAAATGTCATTGTATTGTTTATTTATTTTCAGTAGTACTATAAAGGCATTATTCCACATGACAGGGTGAAACAAAGGAGCAGGCTTACTGCCACCAAAAGCCCCACCATCCCACTTCTCTGCAGCTATACTAGCTTTGGCACTCATGCCTTCTGTTGGTGAACCTATAAAGATCAACAAACTGGTAAAAATTTAACTTAAAATATACACACACACACACACAAAAAGGTTTTCTACCCTCCTTCAGTAACAGCAAGCTGCTAGGCTGGCTCAGTCATCCTGTGAAATTTCATTCTCATAGAATTTTCTTATAAACAGAATTGTTACAACATGAGAATACATACATACTGGTGGCTCTCTGAAACGTGTATGTTCAAAAGAAAATAACCAGCAAGTCTGGTAGAAAAATACATCCATATTACTCCGTAATGTTTATAACTCAACATCCTTGATTAAATTGTCCTCATACTCCATTTCAACAATATTAAGAAATTCATGAACTTATATTAACTGTATAGTCTTAATTAGTCCTGATAAATTCTTTTAAAGTCCTTCCTCTAGATCAAGGCACCACTTAATTTGAATGCATATATACACTGTACCTGTGTTTGTGAAGCAGAAGAACCAATAGCCAAATGTAGCAAAGAATTACACCACATACTTCAGTCATAGCAAAAGCCCATGGTATCCTTGGGACACTAAAAAAAAAAAAAAAAAAAAAAAGCAAGGATGTTAACCTAAAATACAAACACAAAGGCTTGACTTTTTCTTTCTAGTCTCAGTAATTACAAAAAAAGCATATAAGGTTCTTTTTAACTACAAAATTAACTTGCATTAATCTCACAATAGTTTATACTACAATCAAAATTATCAATAGACTGAATTAAATAAATTATTTTCAATAATATTATCTCCTAATAATGTACTTTCAGCAAACGTTTACACAGAATTCAGTAAATGAAAGAAAATCTCTAGTTTGCTCTTTTAATTTACTTGTGATTTACTAAAACGATGTTCCTTTGAAGATTGTTGGGAACTAATGATAATCTGACACAAACTTGCATGTCAAGTATGCTGCTTATGCCTATAAGAATACCATGTCAACACAATGAAATGCTGCACAACTTTAAGGAAGCAGAACTACACAGGAAAGTATTAGGAAAAGTATAAGTGACTTTTGAAGTTAGATTTCAGTGATAATCACTGTATGCAAACAGCTTAGCCTTGCTTGTCAAGATTTAATACTTCCTTGCAGGCAGTAGCTACAATTTTCTCCCTGCAACTTCACCAAAATACAGACTGACAGCTTTCAGGAGAGGCTGCTCCTAATAGTTGTGTTCTCTTTGATACAAAGGGCTAGGAAAGTGTTGCTCAAATGCTAGATTTGTAGTAATCCTCTTGCATTGTTTGGTGGGTTGCTGCTGTCTGAGCTCCTCCATATCCTTCCACTCACTGAGTACTGTGGAATTTGTCCTGGGAACAAAATCCAGCAATGACATAGTTCTCATTCTCTCTCCCCTCCATCACTTTGTTTGATAAGGTCCATCCTTGCTGAGCTGTATCTACTTTTATTGGGGATTCTGCACTCTACATCAGAAGATTAGGCCCCTATTGACTTCACTAAAACCATTAATGAAAAAGAAAATTACTGGCAAGAATAAAAACACTGTGGCTTTTAGACAGTTTATCTTGTCTTTTGGAACTCTCCAGGCCATAAATTCTCCATGGTGCAAGTGAACTTCCTCAAATGGAGCATTTATCTCCTACTAAATTTCTCGTCATTGATGAGAATTTCACCTCTGGTGTTGTATATCTTTTCTGACTGAAAACTTATATTCTTTAACACTAGAAAAGCCACAGGCACTGTTTAAGTCATTAAAGTGTTTTCGTACACAGATACTCTATGGTTTGTAAAGGAGCTGACATATTTGGTCTATTTCAGTTCCCCTAAAGCATTTTAAACAAGTTAACATCAAGAAGACAGTATAACTACGGTATCAATGCTATCCCTTTTCAATTTCCTTACTCATTGGCACTTTGTTGACCAACTTTCCCAAAGCAGAGTACATCTCTTCTCCAGATTGTCAGCCATCTGTGGGCTGCCAGGACTGTGAAACAACTTAAAATTTAAGACCAAAACATTTCTTCATCAGAAGTCTTTCTATACCAAGACACGTTATGCTTCACAGCAGCATCTGGATTTCAGAAAAAGTATGTGTCTGCTTACCTATGAGAGTTGACCATCATCCTTTTTACTAGAATGAGAAGATGAAAGAATTAATTCCTGCATGGTGATTCACTAAAGATGCAGAATTAAATATAAATGGGGTAAAATAACAGATTACTTTACCCTGAGAAGACCAAATCCCTACATCTAACAGAAGCACATTTCAGTCTTAACAGAGGGTTTACTATACTCATGACAATTTTGTAGAGCATTTTCAAGAGCATTAGAAATGTTGAGAATGAAGAAAAAGCAGCCTATACTTTAAACATGGTTTTATTGTATTGTTTTAAAAAAAAAATTCTTACCTGTCTAGAAATATGTCTGGTAGAGGTGGATACGTTTGCATGTCAGGTACTCGTTCATGTACTATAACCATAACAAACGATGTAAAGCCAAACACTATGAAGACATACACACAACTCAAAATTGTTTTCCAGTACTCTGGGTCCAGTCTCCTCGTGGAGTGTTTGTTTTTGCCATTTGCATACTGATATTGATCACCGTTCAAGTCAGTAATTGGCCCATCATAGTCCCGAGGTACTTCACCATTACAAAACCAATCTGTACCCTGCAGCGAACCAACAGCAGCGCCCACTGTGCCAATGTGACTATCGCTGCTGTAACCCAGCTCTTCTAGGACATCGATATGTTGCTTCTGTAGCTTGCGTATGGACAACATTAGCCTTTTGATATCCCCCAGGACTTTGATTTCCAATGGAGGGGATCGTAAATCGTATTCTGTAAGTGTCAGCAATGTAATTCCATCTAGCCTGTGTCTATTGCACAAAATATCCACATATTCACAGAAGCCTTCTTCCTTCAGCCACTTGGCCACATTCTTGGTCGTCCAACGTCGAATGCAAAGCTGGTTATTGCCTGCCATCGTCCTTCCTCTATGCGCCAATAAAATTGACCTGTTAGATATTGGAGAAAGAGAGAAGACCTCAATGTCTAACAAAGCTTACTGAAACATTGGTGTCTTCTGTGTGTTTTTAGATGCTTACTTAGGCAAAGATGTTTTATGTATGAACCTGGCAAAAAACAGACATATGATTCATTAGGCAAGTAATACAAAAATATTTTTTTAACACTTTGAGTCCAGCAAAACCGAGGAAAGTTTATCTAACTTGAGCCTCAATAGAAATTTAAAGCCACCTAGAAGCAGACTATTTCCTAGATATAGCCAGTCTTTTATTCTTTTGTTAAAAAAGAAAACCTGAATTTAGGAAATTATGCTAGGCAATGAAGAACAAAGATTACCCTGTTTAAATAGCAGCTTAATAATTAGTCTTTTCTGCTGTTTGCAGTTCAGAACTAAGCAAGAAAGTATAGCCAGCAACTATGTAAAACTGAATTAAGAGATAAAAAAAAAAAAAAGTAGTACATTACAGGTCCAACATATTCCACTGATTTAAAATTCATCCAGAAGCTTTGGCAGTGTGACACCCCCCCGCCAAGTAAATCTAAGACAAGGTATCTACAGTCATACTGACTTGGGATAACTTTGTTGTATGTTAACGGTGCAGTCATCATCTGTTTGAAATGCGTACTTAAGATAAATCATTTGCAGTATCATCTTTACATCTCGCTGCTTGTTTTAAAAAGGCGCTGTACCTATTGTTAGAAGTAGCACTTATAATTACTGGGTGCAACTTTTATTTCCACTATACATCTAATAGGACTGCCCTACTTTCTTCTATATCAGAGAACATTTGACTTGTCAATCAAGATTTCCCATCAGTACAAGAGATATAGGGTAGAAGAAAAATGGAAGCACAACTCAAAGCTGCCCTACTAAAAGCACTGAGGGAGTGGTACCTCTGACAATATTCCCTCTGCAGCTGTTTATATGTAAACAGCACGTACACAATGCAGATTTGATTCCTCAAAACTCCACATACAGTCAATATGTACATGAGCTTTAATACCTTTATTTGAACAGTTGCTGAAACATCCACAAACAATTACTAGTCTTCTCCACATCTACTATATTCTTCCTTCTCCATGTAAGAGCATATTTGTTCATTTCTCTTATCTTACTACTTTTGAAAATACTGCTCAAAACAACTATAACACAGCTATTACAAAAGAAATTATGACAATTAGTTTGCAAATTAACGATCAGTTTATTGACCTTTTTGTACTTTTTAAAAATCTTAGTCAAGTAAAAAGAAAAACAACATAACATTTAAGTTGCTCATCTGGATTTCCAGCTTCACCTAGAACTGCAGATGAACTGCAAATGTTTGCTATCACAGTGTTTTTGTAACAATGTAGTCATCACCAGTTTTCTAAAAGCAGTGAATTTAGACTTACCAAAATGTACTCAACTCAGTGGTCTGTCTTCTAACCAAAGCAACTTCTGAGAGCAAAGGCAAGAAACTTCCTTTACCCTATCAGAACTCCGTTCATTTGAACGAACCAGTATGAATCAAGAATCCTAACACCAACCCAGTGTTTCTTCATATGGCATTCCAGAACTTATAAATAAATGAATACATCTGCCCTTGTGTAACATGCAGTAAAAGTGACCTTGCAACACTGAGTAAGCATACCCCAAAACATCAAAGGTCATTACTGAACAGAGTGGACCCAGGAGAAAGTCTGCATCAGCTTAAGATGCACCTGATAGGACCCACTCCTGCTTTTAGATGCTGCCAAAGAAAAGGCATTTAACCAACTGCAAAAGAAACAAGCACTTAAAGCACAAACTTCACCATTCCACACAGCTCACAGCTAACTTCATCTTCAGAGCTACAGGTTACGTTCAGTTTTGATGCGAGGGTTTTTCTTTAAACCCAGAAGCAACACCCTCCTTCAGACTGTGCATTCAGTGCCACTTCTGTAGCTTACACAGTAAAAAGCACTTTTTCTTAGCACTTAATCTAAGCACCTGGAATACAATACCGATCTCTATGCCCAATTGCTACTATTCAGTTTTGAAGCTTACTGAAAGTGTGAATTTACAGGACAGAAGCAGAAATATTCTATACTTACGATAATCCTTAATTTTTTCCCATGCCTTTTATGCAGTTTCTTTATCACAATATGTTAACTTGGACTCCAATACAGATTCCACTTACGCTTCGTAACATTTCCAGCACTACCTGTCTGCGATGCAAGACTTATCGACCTGACCAAAGAGAGCAAGACACCTAGATGACTGTACTTGCCTTTTGGAAGAAAACAGCACCAACAGCTACTTTGCCTTCTACGTTACTGGTTTTATCTCCGAAACCAAATAATCGAACGCGTGAATAACATGGACCAAGTACAGACTGAAGTGTCAGAGGGCAAAATATACTTTTCTCCTGACATCAGCAATGTCTGCAGCTAGCTGGTTGATTACTTTCCTGTTACTGTGATTTTATATTTAGTCAGCCCATCAGCAGTACGTATCATGTGTTCTATTTCCCCTTTTCTTTCTCTGGCCTTTCGATTAACAGCATGGATACAACCAAATATTAACTACTGCATGTGCGCAATGCTGATGGGTGTAAGGAGTCTTTTTATTTTATTTTACAAAAAATGGTGCTTCCTAACTCACGAATATTTCTACAGTTTGGTTAGGGCATTTTCAAAAACAAGTTGCCTCTGCAAGACTAAGCATACCCTAGCTATGTTTTCCAATATTACCAACATTTTCCCTGGATTTTCCTTATTTAAATATATATCTCTCCCAAAATTAATACCCACAGTTCTATCATGTTTTCCTCTACTGAATCACTGTCAGTCAAACATTACGCCCATAACTTCTCCAGCACATGGACACTGAGTCATTACCCTGAATTACAAACGTGGCAAGTCAAATATTACCCCTACAATAGGGAAGGGAAAGTAGCACTGCCATGACACCAACACTGGGCAGTAGTCCTGTTACAAGAATGGCCCATCATAGAAACAAAGCTCGCTTACACCAGAATCATAGCTGAGGGGTTAGACAAGCCTCTGGCTGTGCCTGCAGCAGGGTCAGTGGGATACCGAGCGAGTTGGCCCCAGACACACACACCAAGCTACCAGCATCCTTGCTGCCCCACAGTCTGACCACATGTACGGGGCACGGCCCGTGGCTCTCCTTGCTGACATGCTTCAGGATTTTATTTTCCCAGCTATGTTCAGTTCTTGCCATCCTTGAGAGTAATTTTAGGAAGGACGCTGAAGAGCTATCAGATCTCACACGACGTAACCTACATTTCTCTGTAGGAGGTTTCAGGCTGCAGTTTGCATATAGGCGACTCCAGCTGTCCCTCCTTCACCAGGTCAGCTGGCCGAGGAGCACAGCACCTCACACCTTGGGTGAAAAGTTTTCCTGTACAAAGTCTGCTAGCTTGCAATGTGGGCGTGACACAGATTTGAGGCGTTGGCTGTGCTGCTGCACAAAAACACCATGCACAAAAGCGCGCACTGAGCCAGCCTGCAATAGTAAGGCTGCTGTCTGGCACACCGACTGAATGCCGTGCTGGAAACAGCACTGCCTTGTCATGCACCAAAAGTCTCGGGCACCCCACTGCTTGCATCAGCAGCTTGTCACCTGCTCTTCTTGAAAACTCCAGATTCTCCAGTGCTTATTTAGAGCAAACAGCACCAAAGGTTTCATTGCCGTATAGCGTGCACTAGTGCAGTGATTTGATCCTTACCTTGTAAATGTCACTACATACAGTCTATCTTGTAAACAATGGGAGAAAAAGAACACTTGCAAAAACAGGACAGTGATATATCACATAAATATATAAATTATAAAACTGACCAAGCATGGCACAATGCCCACTGTAAGACTGTAAAATTGGATACTTCCCTGAAACAAGCCTACATTAATTTCAAGTGCAGCAATATTACTGTAAAACTTTCGTTCAGTTTTACTTAGTGACTTTGCTGTTGGAATTGCTTTATAAACATTTCTATTAAGTGACACTGTCAGCAGTATTGTAACTGTACTCAAAGGTCTTAATGGAATTTATGAAAGTAAGATAAGAAAATTCAAAGTAAAACTTGTTTCGCTTACTCTAAGACTTAGGTTTTAAATTATATAGGAAGATGTGCTTTACAAGAATTACTCAGTGAATTGCTGCATTGTGGAAAACAAAGAATTGATACTGTGAAATCAAAGATTAGCTCCATATGCTTAGAAGAGCCCTTCTGACAGAATGTCTCCGTGCAAAACTGACAGCAACTATTACAGAAAATCCTGAAAGCTGAACATATTTGTCTTGAGAACCACTAAGAGTGATTACACACTGCAGCACTGCTGAACAGAACATACACCGCTCCTTGACTGTTATCCCTCATTAAACCAAAGGGGTTGTACTACGCTCAAATGAACACTGAAAGCAGCTCAACTGCTGATCTACTAACCAGTGAACAAAACATTTTTTATCCTAGCACCATAATTCAAGGTACACACAAGTGATTTTTAAGCAACTGATCAAGTACTCCCCCACTTAACTTATCACAGAATGTAATTCACGATATTCCCTTAATGTTTGTACAAGACCTCGTACATTTCACGCACTAAGTGTCAAATGTCAAGTAGTTCCTCCTCCAACTTCAAGAAATCTTGTACCCATCTGGTAACAACATCTGCTGCTCTTTACCCTTGGACAACTTACCAGAAAAACAACTCAGGTGTACCGCTCTCCCTGTTTACCTCTTCCTTTTCTTCTCACGCCCCCATTTTCTGATGAAAAGGGGGGATGACACGAACAGTCCTTCCACCTAACAGCACAACCTCTGAAGCGAAACCACGTTTGCTCTTACTCCTGACAATGACTTACAAACTGATCTTTTTAAGTCCTGAGAACATCTAAGCCTTCTTCTTTCTAAACACACAAGAAATGAGAAACTTTTACAAGTTACGTGATCATCATTGAACATCTACAATGGCTCAGGGATCCCAACCAGCCGAGGGGGCAGCAGTGCTGAGGCTCTGTACGCGGAGAAGCGACTACAGAACCTGAACGACTGCAGCTCCAGGACCGAGCTGTGCCTTTACCCGCGTATTTCTGGGAAGAAAACAAAGCAGAGCGGCAGCAACAGGACCCCCGGAGCAGGGCACCGCTAAATTCCTGCTGGCTGCAAGCCCGCAGGACGCCTCCTCCCCGAGCCGCGCTCCCGCATCGCAGCCCCACCGCGCCTCGCCAGGAGCCTCCTGCCAGCCCTGCACACCTCGCCGTGCCCCGACCCCACACCCTGCCGTGCCCCGGCCCCTCCGGACCCTTCCCCTTTCCCCCCGTAGGGCGCAAAGCACCGCAGGCACCTCCTCCCCACCGCCAGGAGCCCGCACCCCACGAGCAGCCGCCGCGGGGAAGGGAAAGGCAGGGACTGGGACATGGGCACAGCACAGGGACGCCCCCGTTTCCCCGCCCGGCCCCGGCTCACCCACCAGCGCTAAGTGGCGGTGCCGCAGCGCCCGGCCCCGGGACGGCGGCGGCTCCCGGGCGCCCTCCCTGCCTCCTGCAGCGGCGGCGGCCCCCGCAGCCTCCCCATCACCCGCACGGAAGCGGCGGCGGCGGCGGCGCGGCAGGCGGAAAGGGCGGAGCGGGGCGGCGGCGGCATCCGGGGGGGCCCCGGGCGGCCAGGCCCAGGGCCTGGCCCCGCTGCTGCCGGGGAGCCCCTCACAGCGCCCGCACACGGCCGGGGGAAGGTGCCCGAGGCACCCAGGGGCGACCTCGGCTCCTGGGGAGCGGGAGGGTGGAGGAGGCGGGCAGCGCCTCGCCAGGCCGGCCAGACCTTCCCCGGCCCAGCAGCGGAGCCGAAGAGAAGCGCAGCTTGGAGCTTGTCTGATAACAGAGCACGTCTGAATCCACGAGAGGGTGCAAAATGCGCTGTAGGAATGCACATTAGTATACATTTTTACCCAGCACAGTCTATCACATGGAAGTACCTTAGTAGGGCCTATATGTGAGAAAGATGAAAGCTTTTCACCGCGCTAACCAGAATTGTCACTGACTTTACTCCACGCTAAACAGAATCGCCATTCACTTTTTAATGAAGCTTACAAACATACAGTTATAACATTCAAAGAAAAAAATACACTTGAATAGTCCATGAACATACCGCCCCCCCCCTTCCTTTGAAGGCATACATGGAAAATAACACCTGAGAAGACTTGCAGGACCCTTACACAAAGCTCTATTTCCAAATAAATAAACTCTTCCAAAACATTTCTGTCTTCAGAAGCACCATTTCTGCACAATTATTCTTCTCCGATGTCTGCAGAGGAAATAAATCTGAACGCCAGCAGCTGGCTGACAGCACTCAGGCGTTTCTCCAAGGTGATCCGGAGCACAGATGCGAACAGCACAAGTGACTTATGAAAGCCTCACCCAGGCACTGTAACTGCAGGTGCTCCACAACCTATAAATAATACAAATGGAAGGGATAGAAGGGGACGGAAAAGATAGAAATAAGTGATTCCAGAAATAAATTTATTTTGTCTATCAGCTGGCTGCCTTAGCAGTCAGCCCTTTGCCGCAGCAGCCTGAAGAACATACAGAAATTTCTGTATCAATGATGTAGTGGCTATGAGGTCCAATACAAGTCTCCCAAATTGTTGCTTCCTTTGAAGTAAAAAAGCTCAGGTGCCAGTAACTTCATTACGTTAATAAGCCTAGCTTTTTCAGAGAATTTGGCCTCATACTCTTTTGAGAGGGAAAAGGGGATCTTTTGCAATCCTTACGCCTGTGCAATCACAGTGAAACAAAAGGAAATTTTGTATTTCAAAATGCTTCACAGCTACACCAAGTTGTCAAGCCACTGAGCAGTCTAACTCAGCTACCCAAGATTGTTCAGTCTCAGCTGTAATGGAACATAGCCATTTTAAACAGATGAAGCACTGGCTAGGCAGAATAGACACCAGCTGTAAGAACTTCTGCTCATTATTATGTTGCCCTGATACTGGTTCAAAGATGCCTCTTTGAGCTGTCCATGCCACCTAGCTTTTATTTTTTACATGAAACAATGTGTTTCTTCCCAAATGAGTGTTGAAGTTTGAGGCAAAGTTCCTCCTTCTTTGCCCAATCTGGTAGCCTCTGCAATCAGTGTCGGAAGGAAAAGCTGTTTCTGTCCTCTCGATGTTTCTTTTCTTTCCCTCCACACAAATTAGATGAAAAACTGACAAGTCCAAATATACCAGTGCACTGTAGATCACGTAAGCATGAATTTGGAAAACAAAAACAAAAAACAGACAAAAAAATCCAAGAGACCTGAAGATAAGCCACTAATAAAGCAGGCTGAAAGTCGAAGCAATTTTTCTTACTGTAAGTCCACATTCAGAGTGTATTCAAAATTACTAGCAGTCATCCTTTTTTTTTTTTTTTTTAATATGGAAGGTGCCAGAAAAGTGCTGCTTTATTCAGAGTACTGTGGCTTTTTTATTCCTCCTTTTTAAAAATTTAAGTATTCACTAGAATTCACAAGCTCATTGGATTGCACAAAGGAAAAAAAAAAAGCACAAGCCAAAGGCTTCTTATCCTATTCCCCTACACTGCTTATAGTTTCCATCTGAAGTTGTCTCTGCTAATGGCATTTTTCTGGCATCTAGTTTCATCACGTTACAAATATTTTCAAAACGACCAAATTAGCTTATGCAGAAAAGTAATAAAGAGCACAATTTAAAACTTGTAACTCTTAAGTAGAAGTGCACATTTAATAGCTGCTTAGTCGCTGTGCTTCAAAACTGAAAACTACTTTTCCTTACTAACATCTGATGCCATTTAAAAGGGTGAATTATCTAAATAATTTGTGCTTTATATAACAGAAGTTTCTGATAAACCTCATTCCATCACTGTGAGTTATGTCACTTCATGCTATGTGACACAAATGCATCGATCTAAGTTTGACAGGCAGAGCCAATGCTGACATGTCAGTCTTAGAATTTATGACAAATGATACGCTACTGATATTTTTAAAATCCCTGCAGATTGCCAAGAAAAAAAAAAAACTCTTTAAAGTACGTAATTATACTGTGTGCATCTTTAGATTGAAAACAATTTATTCAATTTACACAGTTATATTGATTCAATGTTCAGGCTGACATTTAATAACAAAAAGAAAGAAAAATTTTATTGAAGTTTCCCAACTAGGTCCAATTACAATATATTACATATAGCACAGGAAAATGAGATGTGTGAATGTAATGGGGTGTTGGGTTTTTTTGAAACAGTCTTTGTCATTAAATAATGGTGTTCGTATTCAATAATTTGAAATAATCAATCTCTCTCCAATAAATCTAAAGACTATTAAGGAAAGAAAAGCCCTGGGGGAATAGAGAACAAATTGCCTATAAAAATTCTCTTCAAGCAAAGAATGCAGCATGGCAAGCGGGGGAGGGGGGGGTGGGGGTGGGGGGGATCTTTAGCTAGAGGTGCTAATTGATCTACATCATGTTTTTTTCTTTTTGGTGATCTCTTTGTACAGACCAGGTTGTGCCTTATCATCTGTACTTGTGTTGAAGCATACTCAGATCAGTCATGTGTGAACTTTCAAGCATCTATTTTTACCTTTAACTCTCTTACTCCCATAAAGGAAGAAAATTGGACTGAATGGCTAAGAACTAATCAAATTCATCAAGCATAATTGTTTTTCAAGGCAGAAGATGAACTTGTTACAGCAGAAAAACAACAGACTGAATGCCATGTGCTAAGCAGACGGAATTGTTCCATAGGTTACAAGCAGATTCATGTTGTAGAACACCAGAAAATCCTGTTTCACTTAACATTGAACTAAATGTACCAGGATTCAATCAGTTCCATTCTTCTTCAATAGTTAACCATCCCAGAAAACAAATCCTGAAAACAGGGTGATGAGTGAAATGAGTAAATCTTTTGATGGTGGAGATGAATGTATCTAGATAGTCATATTTGTTTACACTAGCTGAACTTCTGTGTTGTAGCATTTCTACTATCAAAAGTTTTCTTCCTTTAGAATACATGAAAGAATTGGCACCAGTTTTCACTGGAGAGAGAGAGGTGTCACAGATGTGGCATCAGGTGGGACTAATAGCAGCATTTTCAGTAGGAGAGACTCTGTGCATGCCCTATTTTTGACCAGTTCAAATTTTCCTGGTAGTGCCATGCTGCACACTAGTAAAGCACTCCATGGCTGTTTACACTGGTGCCACCTATTACATTATTAGCCAGGGAATGTTTGATTTGGATTACTGCACCGAGTACTACCTACAAAATAATCACAAAGGCATAGTCAAACAATTAAAAGGATGCCTTCTGTTAGGTGTAGCTAACCATGCATTAATTCCAGCTGAAACAGCAGCTATTTGTAAGATCACACATAATTGCACAGGTGTTTGGCTCCCTGTCCCAACAGTCAGCAGAATGTAGGAATCCTTGGTACCTCAGAAAGCCCCTAATGCAGAGAAAGCTAGTTTCTAGTTTCTTCTCTGTTCGGTATCCAAGTTTGTTGCTTTTCACATCTGTTCTGAGCCACTTGAAAAGGGCCGTGAAAGAAGCAAAGCTGTAGACAGTGAAACCCACCTGGACAAGAGATTACACCTGGAAGGAATCTGCTGCCAAATTTTAGGACAAAATTAAGTTAATGTTTTCCTTAGTGTTTTTGTTTGTTTGTTTGTTTGTAATCATTTGCATTGAGGCTGCTTTTATATGAACTAAACTACAACAATTCTTCACAAAGAGAATTGTGGCCTTTTCCTGCATGCTATCACAATAACTTTACCAGAAGCCTTTAGTTTTTCTTAGGAGTATTGGTACTTCTGCTGAGAAGGATCTCCAGCCTCTTGAGTGTTTCATGCCAACACACATCCCAGTAAAATAGAGCTTGATAGTCCTGTGCCAGCCCACAGACCTGATGGCTAAATTCTATGTGACTACATGGGAAGAGAAGAATATCCCACAACCACCCAAGCCCAGTGCCAAGGGCAGAACAGCAGGCAAGAGTGTGCACAGTGAACAGGAAGAAATGGTTGCCCCTTCAGCAAGGTTACATCCTATGTGTTAGTAAGGGAGCTTGTCCAAAAAGCAGATCTCTGCCTCCTGCGTCTTTCAATGACAGCTCTTGGCAAGAAAAAGTCAGTAACACAGCTGCACCGAAGTCATGTTCACAGAGCTATTAAAGGTTTAGAGGGTGCTAAGGGTGGAAGGCCAGAGTTTTGATAGAGTCACACTGTTTTGAAGCAGCTGGCCTTATGCCATATCAATGTTGCAGGCACACAGTGTTTAGAGATCATTTTTCTGGAGGTCACATTTTTCTGCTCATCAGCTTTTGTACCACTGAGCTCTTAGCCAGTGCATTCGAGGTAGAGGCCAATAAAAGTTTTAATGCTGAAAAGGGCCAGAATAAAACAAAGGCATTACCTTTCTGACATAACTTGATTGGGAACAAAAGGGCTGGGTTTGCATTAGCAAAACTGCTAGTGAAACCTCAACTTGAGCCTCCACCCAGGAACCTGAGAAGACTGAACTAAACAGTTTTCACCTGCTGGGTCAGTAAATTCCTTGCTTCATGAACACAAATCAGTCAGCTTAAAAAGCTGTTTTGCTGAAAGAAAGAAACAAGAGCAAATCAGACCAAAGTAACATGTAAAGAACACATGCCTTAAGTATAACTTTAACCACTTTTGCAGTCCTCTCCTCTGCTAAATCAGGCCAGCTATCATCCAGAGTGCTCTTAAGCACAGTTAATTAGTCCAGACATTGATACTCAATTTCAAATTGCTCTCTATGATACATCTTTCAATAAAATAAAATAATCCCTCTCTCCATCACAGTAAAGCAATGCATGTGGAATAAAGGTGTGTCAGCCCTTACCAAGGCTTCACTACTGTTCACCACCCTTTTTCAACATGGAGGAGGGAAGCAGCACCAAGCTTCTCTTCTGTGAGCACCGTGTCTTCTGGACTGCTTTGGTAGAGGAGCTTCATATTAGCTGCCAGGCTTACAAAGGAAGAACATCAGCATTTCACGCGTTTTGCCCACGGGCTTCATTGCAGTTTTTCAGACCCCTGCCAGGAGTCACACAGCCTGCAGGCCAGGAGCACAAGCACTAGCATCCCTACAAGGATCCACTAATACGACAGTTTAACACACTAAACCTCCAAGCTACGAATTCCAGATCTTGTTATATAAACTAATGCAGAGGCTTACAAGTTTCACCTGACAACCATTACACTCACGTTCTTGGCTCTGTCTTCAGCACAGGAAGGCATGGTACAACGTGTGGCATGTTGTTATATTAATGCACTGATGAAAGCAGCAACTGCAATATAAAAGACTAAACATAACAAACAGCCTTGGATTCTTCCATTTAGTGAAAAAACAGTACCTTCAAGAAATAACATTTCTCTAGATTACTGGTGATAGGCAAGATGTCGTAACCTACCTGGTGTTTAGCTTCCTGGTGACCACATTGAAAGAACACATCAATGCATTCCCAGCCCTTCAGCAGCTACACTTTTAAATGCCACTGAGTTACTGTGAGATAGCTGCCATGCATCTTGCCCCAGACAGGTTTGCATTTTAACTTTATCAGGACTTTTATGGCTTTGTGATGAACAGTCAGACCTTGCTGGCTGCTGCTGCAGCACTGAGGACACCCCTGAGGGCCATCCTGGACATCTCTGGGTAGATGGTGGGTGTCCTGCAGGCTGGGGACTCAAGGACTGGGTCTGGGGACGAACAGCAGGGAGCAGACTGGAACCAGCAAGGCACGATTAGGTTCGGGCGTCTGTTTCTACTGCCCGTGCCTACCAGGCCAAGCCCTGGGGAGGGGGCTCGGGGATGTTGCAGCGTGGGCACAGTGTCAGGAGCTGCGGCCCAGCACCTGCCCCAGCCCATCTCCTGGTGCCCCGTGACTGCTACGGGTGCTGGCAGCTCCCCAGCGCCCAGCTCGGTGCCTCTGGCTGCCGGGAGCGGGTCTCGCCCTGGCTCTCGCATGTCCGGGGCAGAGGCACTGGGCCCCCCGGGCCTCGAGCCATGCACAGGAGACGTCCCCTCCCTCAAAGAACTGGAGCAGCTCCTCAGTACCGGGCGGCCCTCCTGTAACCACGTCGACGAAGTATGGCCTAATCTCTTCTTGGGAGACCTGTAAGTAAAGCTGCACGGACTGACTTTGCTCTAACGCCACGCTGTACGCTCTGTCTCTTCAGTCTGTTATTATCCCTAATCGGTCAGGCATTAAGTAGCTCTTGGTTTTGCTGACTAATGTCATTTAGACTGCAGACAGCAAAGTTTCTGAGATAAAATTATGACTGAGTGCATACTTGCTTCTTTGTTAACCCTCGGGAACAATGCGCTGGCTTATGTGCCAGCACATGGCTTGGGAGATGCAATCGCAGGACTGTTCCTGCCCTCTGAATATCTCTGTACCCATCTTGATTTGTTTGTGTTGGCCTTTTCCTCAGAGTAACAGCTCACAACAGATTTATTCTGTGGAAGATGGGCGTTACCCATGTTTTAAACGCTGCCCACGGCACAGCGTACAGCCACGGAGGCCAGGACTATTACGGAGCTACCATTGATTATTATGGTGTACCAGCCCACGACCTCCCCAGCTTTGATATAAGCCAGTTCTTTTACTCTGCGGCAGAATTTATCCACAAAGCCTTGAACACGCCAGGAGGTATGAAATTATCACTGTTCACAGTTTAGATGTGTTGGCAGCCTCTTGTAACTAACTGGTCAGGTCCACAAGCTCAGTGGTGGATGAGTCAGCGTGCGGACTGCTGGTCACCTGCCTGGTGGGGGGTGAGGGGAGGGTGTGCTGAGCACACGCATAGCTCTAGCTTGGTCCCAAAGATCAAGGAAGACTGCAAAAAGTTGACGTGAGAAAAAGGATGGACAGTGAACAAGAGAGACTGAGGAGGAGAGGACAAGGAGGAGAGGGAAAAATATCTGGAAAGAAAGGCTTATTCAAACAAGGAAAAGAAAAAAACACGCATTTGATATGGACACAGTTTTATCTGGTCTAGTCTTCTGAGATCCTCTTGTGACAACTGTATTTGTAAGAACACATGAATAGAGTCACAAGTCCTGATTTCTCCAGCTACACGACATGTGAAGAGGCCCATACGCTGCAGATGTTCACCCTGTGTGAATAGGGCCTGCAGAGCATGCGACTTAGCAGGAGACGCACCTTTACCCAAGGAGATTTATGACACGTTGCACAAGAGATTGAGCGTCTTGGCACTGGTGCTATAAAATACTAATTAGCATCTATTACATAAAAGATTATTCCTTAGCATGAGTAAACTGGCATTAATGGATCTACCTCAGTCTGTCTCACACGCTCAGCCTTCAAAAAAGAAATACAGCCACAGCAAATTGCCTTATTATGCAATAGTACTAGGCCAGTCGTTTTTCTTGGTGGCTAATGTGTTAGTGCCATCCTTTCAGGCCATATTGTAGCATTCTTCTTCACCTTAGTGAGCCCCTCTGAAAGCAATGGGTCTGGTTTTCCTCTTGTTCACAACAGAACAACATCAGTGCTTCCACAGGGTTTTCTTTGATTTACCAGTGTTTCTGAAATCAGGTTGTGACCTCATGGCACTGCTCATTCAAGTTGCTGGAACAGTTACAAATTAGACTTTACTGTTAGCAGTTCATGCGGTCTATTGAAAGGGTAGAAAATAAATTGTTTGCTGTGTTGCTCTGACCACACTGGAGAATACAGGAGGGGTTTGTCTTCCCTTTAAATTCAACTTCATCCTCTGTGCTACTTCACCTTTATGGTTATAATTTGCCTTTTTTTTTTCCCCTTTTTTGACCAGCTAAAATTTTGGTACATTGTGCAGTTGGAGTAAGCAGGTCAGCTTCCCTTGTCCTAGCATATCTCATGATAAATCACCACCTCCCATTGATTGAAGCCATCAAAACAGTGAAGGAACATCGATGGATTTCACCCAATCGTGGCTTTCTGAAACACCTGCGAAATCTGGATGTTCAGCTACGGCAAAAGAAGGGCTGCTGAAAGGGCAAATCCCTTTGCATTCAGATTTTCAGCCTTCATAATCAATGTGCCTACAATACTTCCCATGATCAGTGCATACTGAAAGAATTAAGAGTTATGGAACCCATCAAAGAAAAAAAAAAATCAACAGAACTGCCAATGGATCAATTTTGGTGGCTCAGTTCCTCGTAGACGAGCACTGCCAACATCAGCCCCATAAGTACCACATGCTGCAGAGCTCCTGCGCCCAGCGTGGTACTACCAAATGACTCCCCTGGAGCAGTTAGGATGGACTGAGGTTGTTCCCCACTTGTGCTAATACCAGAGACAAGTTCAATAATTGCATCTAGCGGTACAGTATGTTTGAGTCCCCTTTACTAAAGAGTGTAAAATGACCTTCAGTTTGGTTGTAGTTTTCATATGAAAAGCTTGTCGTGTTGCAGGCCTGGTGGTGTGATGAGGGCAATTGGTCAGAAGCCCAAGCACTGCTGCAGACACCTTCCTCTTCCGCCAGTCTCCTCAGTGTTGCAGTGCCACAGAAAGCTGTGGCAGCCTGAACACCCACACCAACAGAATAAACTTCCTCTGCACAGCTCCCTATGCAGTCTCAGGGTCAGCAAACCCACAAGCCTTTTCTTGTGTAAATATGTTTTCAACAAGATACTGTATATTATGTACTATATTGAAGACATTAAAAAAGAAGACAGATTTTCAAGGTATTTTGTAAGTGTAAATTCATCAGTTTTGTGTAAGTGGCTTTGAATCATTTTTGGTTTAACATCAGGTAGGAACCCGGGCATTCGTCATTACTGAGGAGCTACTGGCATGTGTTTGCCTGTTCCCCACTGTGTGTTTCCAAGCTCTTGCCCACAATAAATGCAGATTATGCTAAGGGCCTGTGGATGTTAAATCCATAAAAGACGTGTATAAGGAGTAATTTTGGTTTTAATATGTGAAGTGCTTATTTTGCACCATCTCTCTGCTCCTTACCCCTCAGTCTGCAAGGGAATTGCTGAGCTCCATGGCCGGCAACTCCTCCGGCACACCAGCAGCTTGAACCTGAGCAAGAACATCTTCCTCCTCTGCCAGTCCTCCTGCATTTATCCTGTTCCTTTCAACTTCTCAGGTTTAAGCCTAAATATTATCTGCTCTCTCTGGCCTCTTCCTTCACAAAGGATTAGTCCAGAGAAAGAAAGTGTCAAAGATCCAGGAAATCCAAGTATTGCTTTCCATCCATCTCTGCGTAACGGTGCTGACACCTGAATGTGGTATCTTGTCTATGTTCCAGATTTCAAAGCTTCAACTTAAAATAAGCCTAAAAAACCAGACTGACAGACTCCCTGCCTGCCTGCATGCCCTTAATTTGATTTAGGCCCATCTTACATTGCTATTTTCTAAATTCAGCAGGGAACTGAGTTAGCTTAAATAAATAGCTCGGCTTAATTGATACAAATTAGTTTTAGGTTGTTTAGAGGTTGTCACTTTTCCTATGACCAGTTAATCAGTTACTTAAACCAACACAATTTTTAATACAGAAACTGCATTTGAAATTCATGCTACCATTCTCCCTGAAAATTACCTTGTTACCTTGTGGTGAACCATGAAGCAATAATCAAATCTATTTTTGCCCTTTGCTACTAGGTTGATTTATTGATTAGATGACCTTATAAACTTTCTCTGCCAGATTGAGTAAATACATTTCTGCTTGCTTGAAGCATCAGGCCTCATCATTGCCTCTCTGCTGGAGACGGCTTGCAAAGTTATTACAAAACTTAAATGGTGGTGACTTGTGGGTTGTTGTTCTTCCTTCCCAGACCTCCTTCCCACACCTATCACCCTTAATTCTTGGACAGGCTGAGACACAGATGCTGATTTGGCCTAGTGCTTATGGGAATGTAGAAATCCCTATTTCAATGTACACATAGCAAAATAAGCATATTTAAGATCCTTTTAGAGGTCTATTTGACTGTCTGTTCAGATTTTCCTAAATCTTGCCAAAGAGCTCCACTGGCAACAAAGAGAAAATTTTGTAACATAAAAAGATCAAATAGAAAATCACATTTAAAACCCAACAGTGCTAGCACAATCTTTATACCTCACAAAGTAGCAGAGCAGCGGAGGAGGAGCTGGGTTTGCTTTGAAGATCTCCATTAGCATTAATAAGGATTTACACGAGTTAATATTTCATTGTAATTTATACTTCATTCACATTACAGTAGATTTCAGTCTTGAAGCCTTTTGAAGACATGGCACTGAAAAGTCTGGAATTGATGTGAGTGAAATAATGCATCTTAATGGCTTTAGGCTGGGCAAAATTAGACACGTGTGAGCAAGATTGATGGAACCTCCCATCAGGATAATGCTTTGCATGCCCCTGAACATCTGTCCCACAAAGCCACAGCTGTGAAAGCTGCTCTTGTTGTAAATTAGTACCTGCTCTCTTAGATACTACTCCTCCTTTGAGAATTTTGTTTCACAAGGGGTACAGAACTGTAGACCGAAGTTGAGCCAGTATAGCATCCATTCCATCAGGGACACGGTAGTGATTTTGTACAGCAAGACTTACTTACCCCAGTGGATAGAAAAAAATAGTTAGAAACTCTTTTCAAGGGCAGTGGTAAATCACAGAAGTGTTTTTAATCTGCAGAGGTTGTGTTGCCTAAATTTCCTGCCTGCAATATTGCTCCCTTCTTTATATACTGTGCACCTTTGGCTCCAGCTCTGCGCAGGGAAAAAGATTCCCATCAACATATGTAAAAGCTGTAAAATTAGTCCTGTAACTTCTTGAAACAGCAAACACTGCTTTGACTTGCTAGGAGGAAAAGAGACCTCACCAGTCCCTTACATTATCCATAGCTCAGGTCGTGATGTGACACAACATTAGTACTTCCCTGTTTTCCTCTATCAGCCAAAAAACTTGTATTTTGAATATTGGTTTGGCAAGTTAAGCTGAGGAGCCAAAATAAAAGCAAAACACTGCCTCACCAGTGGCACTTTGTTTAGAATATGCACACGACAACAGGGGCTGCACGATGCAGGAGAGATGCACGATGCACTGAACATTAACTCCTCATTGAGGGAGAATCCCACTTGGGAAGATGCTTCAGTAGCTGAAGATAAGTTGAACCTGCTGAACCAAAGCACCCAGGTTCACCCAAGGTGCCCCTGTAGTTTCCCATAACCCTGAAGGAACCATCAATGCTGGGGACCCAGCCTGACGAGGAGCTGCTTACCTTCCATCTCCCCTGAAGCAAACAGGTACACAGGACTTCCTGCCCAGGCTCAGATGCATGCTCCTGTAACAAATTTTTTTGGTTTTTGAAAGCAATTTTCAGCTAAATTCAATTCCTGATCCACCTTACCAAGTGGGTCATGAGGCTTAGTGCCAGCTCAACGGAGGCTGTGGGTGGGTGGCTGAGAGCAGAGGGCATGGTGAAAGGAACCTAAATCAGCTTAAAGCAGTTACAAAATCACAGCATCCCCTGAAGGGAGGCATGCAGAATTCCAGTGGAAGTTTCCCTTATTCTCAAATAGAAGAGCTGAAGGTAACAGATAAAGTCAGCAGAAGCCAAGCTGGGAACTGGAGGAAGGGGGTTAGGTGTGCTGTGTGATGCCTTGCCCCAGGATGCTGCAGGGAGTAGAAGCCTAAAAAAATTTAAGGAGTAACTGGGAACATTTAAGGAACAGCAATCCCCTCAGGGTTACCAAATACACAGAAACTGTGACCAGACCTGGAAGCTCCTGAGCTGCAGCCAGCTGGAAGCCGGGACAGTATTAGAAAGCAGTATATCTCATACTTGCCTGGTCTCATTTTCTATGAGTCTCAGCTTACAGCCACAGTCAAACTCGATGGACTGTGGTGAGGCCCAGGACAGCTGCTCTCCTGGTCTTTATTTTGAACTCGCCCTTAAGATGAGCTGTCCCCTGTTTCCCAGTAGCTTATTAATAGAACTGGTTAGCACGAGGCACTGGGGACTGCGTCTTGGCTGCATTCATTGACATTTCTTTCATGGGGAGTGCTCTGTGCTGGCAAGCACAGCACTACTGCTTCTGGGGGGAGGTGTTTTTTGGTTTATTTGTTTTGGGTTTTGTTTTCCTGTGGCTGTTCCCATTCCATTGGGGATGCAACACTGAGCTCATCTCGGGAGGCATCCACGCGTGTACCACAATTAGAGACAGCCACCTGCTTGGGAATATCAAGTGAAGAGCACACTCCAGCAAGGCACCCCTGCTGACTCTGCAGCAGCAGGCACTCCACTGCCTAAATTTGTGCGTGGCCACCAACGAGGGACCAGCGCCTGGAGGTGGTTGGACCCAGCCGCCCAGGAACGCTTTGAGCTGCGCTCCCTCTGCCCAGGAATTGCAAAGTATTTTGAGCAGCTGCAAGGTGGAATTGAAGCACGTGGGTGACGAGTGGCCTGAGCTCCACATGGGCAATACATAAGTGCTATTTGAGGCTGAAGGGCTGAGGAATGTAGTGCTTGTTAACATATGCTGTTTTATTTAGTTAGCGTTGTTAAATTTAGTTGCCTTAAAATAGACGTAAGATTAGCATAGAAGAAAGCAAAATGACTGCCCATTAAAGAAGAACCTTCAAAACACACTAAAATGGATTAAGAAGAGGATCAAAATTATCTTTATTCATTTGTATTATTTAAAAAATAGTAAGAAAAAAAATACATTTCCTAAATGGTGCAGTGTTTAACATGTAGACCACAAGGCAGAATCATGATTCTGAGTGGCCTTAAAATTGAACTATGATTTTTTTTCACTTTCTCAATTTGGTGATTAAAGAACAGCGATTTTCAAATAATAATAATAAAGTACTCTAATATTTGCTGTTTGTATTATAAGCTGATTTTCAGTTGAAATTTCTGACAGAATGTTGATTGTTTCAGCAATTGAATAAACCTGTGCCAGGATCAGGACTTGAGCCACAGCTCGTGCCAAATAACCCAAAGCAGTACCATAAACTGTCACTGCTTGTTCCTGTGGAACCAGTTATGTGCAGCTCCTCAGGAGCTACCAGGCAATTAAAGATCAATCTAGAATTAAAGCTGTATTCTATAAGACATTTTTCCTTATGACTTTATCAGAATTTTGATGGGAGGCCTCTTTAAATGAGTTCAATAATTCATTATATACTACACACTATAACATTATATAATATACACTATAAATAAAGTAGGCATGGCTGACTTTACATGATGTCTTTCATCCTGGAGGACTTTGAAGTGGTCAACAAACTGATTATTAAATATTTGTCTGCCATCAGCCACTGCTGATACAAAAGGCCAAGGCCAAGACCCTTTGGGTTGAAAGGTAAAATATTTTTAAAAGTGCTGCACAATAAGCAGCTCAGGGCACAAGATGTAAAATATCCTGCAGAAATCAAACCTGACAGTGAATCTTAAATAGGCAGGTTTAACAAGTGGAATTTAGCCAGATTACCAAGATTAATACCACCCCAGCAAAGAAATGTGACACAATCAAAGTTTGAGACAAAAGGGTTACAGGCTGTACTAAAACCTGACTGTGTCATTTCAGCATTGTACTTCAAGTCCAATTGTAGGAGGACCTGAGCTACCTCATGAAGTCAATTTTTACAAGATGTTTGGGCCAGTAACTCCCAATGACTGTAGTCAAATAGAGCCTGCAATACTTGTTAAATTTACAGGAAGTTATAGGCAGGATACTCTAAGTTTTCTACTTCTATTTTGAGTATATTTGGAAATCACCACCTTTTACTTTTTACTACATTACAGTTTCCTACGCAAGTCTCTAAGTGTGGTAGGCACTAAGCTCTGCAGACTAAGAGATTACAAGGCAATAAGATACATTGAGCTGCTTTTTGTCACAAGCTTTCACACACGATTCTCCACAGCTTCATAGCCCAAAGCAAGAAAGACCTGTGAGGGCTTGGTGTCCCTTGTGTACTGAATGCTGCACGTTTTGCATAGGGAAGCAAAGGGGACCAAACATTCCGTGGCCAGGAATGGCATTGTTATGGAATAACTGCAGAGGACTTTCACCTTGGCACACATTTCTCTACCACCTCTGAGTACATTCTCAAGGCCAAACAGTGGTAAGCCACTGCTCTAACACAGCACTTGCGTTAAGCAATCACAGGTTACTTCAGAAGCATTAACTATACTTCATTCAACCACTGGGTAAGCCTAATTATCTACTTACAGATATTGTCTCCATGGTTAGAGAGAGGATAGCAGCATCCTGAAAGATAAGGAGTGGTCCACAAAACTACATCCAAGTCAGTGTCCATCACATATGGCCCACTACAATGACCGGAGTGTATCTTCTGTAACAGAAGAGAAAAAAGTAAGCAAGTAGAAATGGGAACAATGCTGTATTTTAGTGAGTGGGGAGAAGGACGAATTTCCAGTTGAAAAACACTTTTTTTGTTGTTGTTGTTTGAGTTTTTCTGTATTGATTCATCAGAATACAAAACACACAAAATGTTACTTTCTGGTTTGAGAAGCAGCCAAAATCCGCAAACAGCTATTATAAAGACATGCCAATTGGCCATTTACAAAGCCTAATGCCATATGTTTTCCTATTTTTCTGGACTCAGATCTCTAGTAACAAAAAGTGGTTCTTGATTTATGAAAGAGATGAATGTAATACCCTGAAGGGTACTTTATCACAGCAGCTGTAAATTCGATCTCTAAGAAATGAGATGATGTGGGTAAGGCAGAAGTACCAGCTTATGCAATCTGTGAGCATGGCACTATTCTGTGCAGCCTGGAACAGCACAACATGTATTCATTTTTATTTTGCAGGAAAATCTTGGTTCACTGTATTCTTGGAAAAAGCAGATCTGCCTCCCTTGTACTACCTTAACCTTATGATCTTCCATCACTTTTCTCTGGGAATGCTATCCAAGGAGTTATCCGGTACTGAGTAATTTCATCAAGAGGAGCATTCCTGAAACAGCTGCAGGACTTAGATATTGAACTAAGATACATACGGTATACACCTATGTAAATTCTTATGAAACAGAAGATCAAAGTAACAGGAAGGAATGTCAGACAGCCAATCTGAATATGAGATAAAGATGAAAGGAACGTGACCTAAAGCTTTGGCATCAAACCTATGTTTCCCCTCTGTTTAGGGGACAGAGGGTTTTCCCAGTCACTACTCAAACATTTGGTTAAATGAAGACAACAAACGTGCTAGATAGACCTCTAGAATATGCTCCCCGTTTGCTGTCTCCTCTGTTTCTGAAGACTCATAAAACTTGACTTCAAGAGAAAGCAGCCCCATGTTTGAAGTTAAAGCTTTTAAGAATATCCCTGGACTTAAAATGATGGCAACCTGTTTTGCTGCACTGGGATGATCAAATGAAAAGGGGGGAAAATGTGGAAGTCCAGCAGACAACAAGTTACCCAAATGGGGGACAGAGTTTTCCCTCCCTGCTGACAATAGATGCTCAGTTCCCAAGGACTTCCCAGAGGTACCTTCATTTCACCATGTCCTCTGTCCAGCTCAGTCTTAGCTTTATGGACCTGAGATTTACAGCAGTGTATTGCCATAAATTAGCTCTTTTCTCAGAATGCCCTGTTCCCACCAAAATTCTCTTTAAGCAAGCTGCGATGTGTCTTCAGTGCTAGTGAACACATAAAGAGTTGAGTTCCTTAATTTTACAGTAATATTTCATAAAAAAACTGCTCTTTCAACCCTACTCTGCTTGCTCAGAGCTTCTCTTGTTAGCCTGTCTTCTGTCACTTTCTCACAAAGCAAAGGGGAGTGAAAGGATAAAATGCTAATTAGATTTTTGAAATGAATGCAAATTAACAAGCAAAGCTACACCACCTTGTGGTAGTTCTTATCTTAGGGCAGACCCTGGAAAAACAGTTTCAGACTGAAGTCCTAGAGACAGCAGTAAAATACCTGGGGAAAGTTGCAGATGACAACTCCAGCATCTCAGCAGAACTACGTAGCATTTGCACTGAGTTTGTTTGCAGTGTGTATACATTTCTGTACAAATGTACCCAGTGCAACTTGGAAACATCAGTGCTGGGGACAATCAATCCATGGTGAAACTCCCACAAAAAAAAACAGTGGTGCAACCCCGGGCTGAGTTAGCTCTCCTGCGTAGAGGTGCCTACCAAGGACGGCATGGCCTAGGAGGCGTATGTAACTGGCAGGTTCTCAAGTGTCAAAATAGAAGCAGAATCACCAGCTGCGTACATCCTGTGCTCTGCAAGCGAGACGCAAACAAGAAAAACAGTCGAGCTGTCTGTTGGAAAAAGCAGCTTCCCAGGATCACCCCAACCACGGTGTAATTGTGATCAATCCGCATTGGCAAGTATCAGTTTTCCATATGTGTTTCACCTAATGCTGGCTGCCTGTGGAGAGCAGCTCGGGCAGGCTGATGCATGCTTGTTATCGCCGGCATAAATATCTCTGCCTCGTGTTATTGTGGCACAAAGCAGCTGGACCATTTGAAAATCATTTAAAAAGCACTATAAAATTAGGGCTCCAGTGCTCTTATTTTATGACTTTCATGAGCAGCCATTGCCTAGAGAGAAATTATCCTCTTTATTTTCAAGGCTAAAGGTTCTTTTAACATTCATCAAAATCAAAGTGCACCCTTGATAACACATTGAGCTGTTACTTATCTAGTACAGTCTCTTTACCTTCTGCATAATATCACATTTGAGATCTCAGTTCTTCGTATACAACTCATTTCATTGTGGCTGCTGTTGTTTTCACCAACTGAATTTGCATAGTTTCTGGAGAGGCTGGTTTATGCCCTGAAACATATTCTTTGCATAATTCTTAATTCTATTTTATTATATTTTTAATTTCTAGAAAAATACCACTGAGTGTTTTTGTTATTGATCCCTCTATAAAAATGGTCAGTTACCTCTTCTGGCAATGGCTTTTCACAGACCAATTAAGCACTGTAAGTGAAATGTATTCAAGGGCATAAATAGTACTTAGGTGCACAGCCTGATAGACTCCCTCCTCTGCCTTTGAAAACTCTTTCCCCCATATAAGAAAAAAGTCTTAGATAATTTTATTGTTTTCCTCTATTGTTTTCACAGACAGCTAAACTCAGGAAAACAATGAATGAACCAAAGCAGTGTGAGAACATTCAAACAGTGTGGAGGGAGATCCATTTCTTTTAGAAACAAGAAATGCAGCTGTAAAGACAACTAAAGCTTGGATTTGAAGGGTTTTGCAAGAGACACCATGCAAAATTGTCAGCCGCAAAGGCTGAGAGAGGCCCTGCACATCCTCTGTCCTGCAGCTCAGGAAAACCACTGCTTTCCTCCAAGTTGTTTATCCTGCCTCAGGTTGCTGTAAGAGCCCGGTCACCTTATTATCCAGACATCAAATACAGACTGAAGATAAACATTTAGAAAGCCGTAACCTTAGCTCTCTTTTCAGGATTCCCTCTTTGGCCAAGTTGTTTTTATTTTGTTTTGTTTTGTTTTTCCACCTCTAGGGGTAGCAGACCGCATTGCTGTGCCAAAAAGGTGGCATGCTTTCAACTCTCTGCAAACGGGGAGGGCTGGTGCTAATAGGTCGTGCTGTGAAAGTGTGTAGCCATGCAGAGGAGCTGTGAAGTCAAGGCACAGCATCCTGCGCGGAGGAGCTGTAACTGGCCAGACGGCAGCCTGCATGCGTGTGAAGAGAGCCGCGCTGCCGTGCCAACACCTCTGCTAGCAGAGGCAGATTGAGTATTTAACCGCAGAGCCCTTGCCGGTCATCACCCAGTTTTCGATTCATCAACTGGATGCTTAAGCTAACAGAAGGATGAGATGGGGTTATTTGGTAATCGCAATTGTTTATGACCTTAGGAAGACACAGCAAACAAGGCAGTCATGATAAGCAGGCCCATGTACAGGCTGCTGTCACCACGGATGCAGAAAGTGGGACAGGCATTTAGTAAGCCATGACAGGAATGCACTTCAGCTCTGCAGCACGCTTTTTGTCAGCAAGCCACTAGCCACCTTCCTCCATCTGACAGCAAAAGGAAAAGAGAAAAGGGCTCATCTGAGCTGATCCAGCTCTGGGTTCCTGCATTTCAGACCAGATTTGACCTTTCAGGTTAGGAGCGATCCACCCGAATTGCAGCCCTTGCTTGGGGCAATGGTCAGGAGTGCTGGGCCAGGGAAGAACAGAGATGTGTGCAGCCCCTTCATCACCTCATTCAGCACCACTGCCATGGCTGTATTGGCTCTGCAGGAGCTTCCTCCCTTCTGAGCTCACCTGTATGGATGCTCTTTCTTTCTCTGGTATATACACCTCACCCAGCAGAAAACACTGCAAAATCCCTTCCACCCAGGGCTTTCAAATTAACATTTGAAGTCAATGCTTCAATGCTAAAAGGAGGGTCAGAGGAGGATTTTTCTTTTAAGCATAGAAGGGAAAGAGGTGTCTACAGTGTTGTTTTCCCATATACCCACATCTACTAAAACCTCAACATGTAAGGGGTATGTGTTTGCTCACCTTGTCTCCAGAAGAGGATTCAGTATATCCTGGAGGGAGCTTTGATTGAGATGATCAGTTGTTTGAAGTGTAGCAAAAGGACCCAGGTTGAAGGACATTCTAGATGAGGCAGATTCAAAGTCATTTTGTTTTCTGTTAAGCTTACTCATTTTCAGTAAGGCTTAATCCACTTCCAAATAGCAGGTGGGACCCTGTGACTGAGGTGGACAAAAGAAGGGTTCTGGATGCTGTCAGTGCGCTTGTGGTGTTGCCAGTAGCCACAGAGCTTCCATCACTTGCTTTCCTCACAAGGTGAAGCTGATTCCTGCTGCTAAGCACAGAACCAACCTGGGAACAAAGTCCTTTTACCAAACAGAACAATATAAAGCATGATACCTTAAAAAGCCAAGTAGGATCAGAATCCTGAGGGAGGAGGGCACTGGGATGTGTCTTAGCATCATCTCATTGGGCGAGGGTGTTGCTGTCCAGGTGAAAGGCATCTGTCTTCAGCTGTTTTTCCTCATCACCACAACAGTTGAAAGTTGCTTTTAAACATTTTTCTTTTCCTTCTCCACTCCCAATCCTTTGTCATCCTCCTCCTTGCTGGTGCTAAGAAATGAATCTTCCTTCATAGTGATAAATGTTCCTCACAGTCTGGGAAGCAGATGCGGTATGTTTAGTGCCCATGTTATATAATTCAATAGTTAGTAATGGGTATTGTAGACACCTCTTTCATAAGACACATGGAAAAGGTGCCAAGGCAGGTTAGACCTGAAGGTCTGGTTAGCTGATCTTCTCCATCAGCCCAGAGCAGTGTCTAGGGGAAGAGAGCATAAGTAGCTGGACGATGTAGGAGTGATTCTTCCGCTGCATCGCCTCCAGCTTTTGGCCTTCCACAGATTAACTACTTCCTAAACTTTGTGATGCTTTTAATTATGGATGGAAGGTCTGGTCCCATTACAAAACTCCCTAATTGCTCCCCTCTGCACCCAGCGAGCACCTTGCCTCCATCAGCTCCAGAGATTAGCTCAGGCTGTAAGAAAAAAAAAAAAAAAAGAAGAAGGAAGGAAGGAAAAGGAAAAGCCTGCAAAAAGAAGAACAAAGAAAAGGAAGAACAAGAGATGGAAAGCTGGCTCTGGAAGAGGGCTCTCCCACCACCACGCCCCGGCTGGATGGCAAGGTTACGGCGTGGGCCTGCTGCTGCTGGGTTTGCAGTGTGACTTGCCTGGTTGGGAAGCTTTTCCCCATGTTGGACGAACCACAAATGCCACTGATAAATTACCTTGATGCCCAATTCTGACATGAACTAAACTCAAGTCAGCAGCAGGCTCCATCTAACGTTTCCAGTTGGTTATAAGACACAGCAATTGTGGGCGCCTGGGCAGTGGGGGCACCTGGTGGGGAGTGGTGGCCCCAGGGTCTGTGCTGGGCTGTCATTTGGAAATAACTCCCTGAGGAGTAACGGCCTGTTAACTTGCACTGATGCCCAACAACTTCTGCAAGGTTTCTTTATCTTTGGAGCCTGGTTTGTTACAACGGATTTTGCCACTGGAGCAAATCCAGGCCAAACTGCACTGTGCCTAGGAAAATTGAACACTGTTACATGCTTTTCTCATACAGAAAACCTGCATAGGAAAGGATACAGTGTAGATCGTTTGATGTATTTGCTCAGGTCAATACCAATTTAATTAATCGAGTACCTTTCACATTTTTCTCCCATCCAACCACAGCATTTTCTTGTACAACAGTAACCGCTCTCTCTAAAAGCCATGAATACACTATTTTAAAACATCCAAGATTGCTTTCTTCTGCCATCTTCTGGCAAAATGAAAGAAAAACAGCGTTTCAATCGCAGCAGTGCTGCTGTGCTGGTCTAAGGCAAAGGTTGTCACTAAAGGTAGTGTGTTAATACAGTAGTTGGCATAAGTGAAAAAAAACATAGCCCTTGTTGTGTATTTGAAGGCTTACCTAACTCCTCCAGCCCCACCAGCTGGTCTAGTAGCAGTGTTCCTGTGGTTATCCCACAGCAAAATGTCTGCTTTGTAGGCCTGCTGCTTCTTCACTGCCCGGAAAGCAAAGGGGAGTTGCATGGCACGTGAGGCTTTGCGGTTTTATAACAGGACTTTATAGAAAATACAATCAGTATTGTGAAGAGAAGTCCCTTTTGCCAGTTTTGCTCCTGGGTCTTTGGAGTTCCTTGACAAAAGACATCTTTGTTTCCTTGTCTGATAGGCACGCAAGGATTTTCCTTCTACTGCAACAATTATTTCTTTCTGATCTCCCAATGTAAACACCACAAATCATGCCAAAACACCTTATGTGATTTTCTTAATTCTAAAATAAACCCCTTTCAATATTTTGTTAAGAAAGCATATAAGGTTAAATTATGGTTCCTGTGGGTTGGTTTTTTTTGTTTTTTTTAATTGGCTTTTCCTTCAGTCACGCAGAAGTCCCTTGCAAATAGCTAGTCTTGATCCCCTGTCTCTTTTCACAATAGCTCTTCTCACACAGTTTTACTAAAGATATGAAAATAACATATGGTAATAAAAAATGAAAAAAATCCTAAACAAAAAATCCAATATTTCACCTTAAAATGAACTCAAAATTCAGAGTCAGTAAGAAAAGCTACTCACAAAATTCCAGCCTGCAAAGAGCACATAAATAAGAGCATTTCAAAGCTTTGTTCATTTTCACTAGCACCAGCAAAAATGTCTGCTTTGGATGCCAGGCACCGGAGAGAAAGGATGTTAATGCTATTTATAGCGCAGGGATGGCTCCCATTACCACTGTACCTGAGGAGCTCACAATCCTTAACATATTCCTGCTCACTGCGACTTTCTCAGGCAGAGGACGGCCTTCCCAGGGCGGTGCTGGAGGCACTGGGATTTGCTTTGGGAAAATGGACTGAAATTTGCAGCCTTTTCCCAAAGCATCTATTACAAATCACCTCCAGCAAGGACAACCTCCAGCAAGGCTGCTCCCCTCCTGGCTACCTGTGCTTGGTCCCTTGGGAGCCACGGGGCTGCACTTTGCTGGGGCTCACCCTCCCTCCCCACCCTACCAGCTGTGGCATTGACCTACAGCCCATGCGAAGCATCACCAAGAACCAGCACTGCAAAAACAACAGCACAAAACCTGATGAAATATAGGTGGGAAAAAGCACAAGCAACTCCCCAAACTTGCTGCAGCACAACCACCTTTGCCCCTGCCCTGCCCAACACTGCAAGACTCAGGGGGCATCAACACCAACATCATGTCTTGGGCATGGGGCAGATCTGCCCCATGCCCAAGACTTAATCAAAAAACAAATCATCTGTTTAAAGTCAGCAATTAAAAATCTGAAGGAAAGATGTTCAACTTCACCCCAACAAAGCTGAGAGCATCCCTCGAGAACTCTACAATTTCCCTGAAAAAAATGTAAGTGCCAAAATAGATCTTCAAGTGTGGAGTTTTGAAGTCTCTTTGCTCTTTATTCTACTGCAAAGAGTTTGTACAGCTTTGTCAACTTTATAAAAAGATGCCTTTCTCATATGTACCCTTTCAGGCAAGGCAAGGAAGGCAAGGGAAAGCACTTTGCTGCTGACATTAGAAATGTAGGGAGAGACAGGCAGCTCAAAGATACCAGTGCCAAGTGACTGAGGAATATCAAAAACCTTCACTCGTGCCTTCAAATACTCTGAAATCTTGCAAGCTTGACAGCGTCGTCAATTTTGTATTGACAGCAGCAGTCAGACAAAAATCATTTGAGGAGTAAATCGAGGAGAAAAAAAAATCTTTAATCCACAGTCATACAAATCCATACCGCCTGCAGAAGGGCAACTGCTTCAGAGCCTGTTTTAATAGCAATATATTAACATCCTTGTTTGTCTTTCCTGAAGCTTGCCAGGCTTTTTTTCCTTCCCCCTCTCAAAATCTGTTCGACATCATTTGTGTCAGATGGGCGCATACTGTGCCCGTAACTTTCACCTATGGACAGCCTGTGACACCGATGACACCTCAGCGTGGGGCTGGCAGTGCTCACTGAGCTGTTATCAATATCAAGGTCACTCTGCTTTTCTTGCTTTGGCTGGAGCTCCTCTGCCCTCGGGGCACGGGCTGCCCCAGGAAGCTTTCAGCCCGAGCACGTCACAAGCCGCAGCCGCTTTGCTCCACTCCTGGCCTTACATAAGATGAGGGCGAAGTTTCTACTATTAGAAACAGTTATCTGCATGGCGGGCTGCTGCTCTCCCGGCTACAGCACAGTTATGACTGCTGGCGGTGGGACTTAAAACTACAGCTATTTTAATTCAGGGAGAAGCAAGAATCAGGTCAAGATGTGTCGAGAGAAACAGTAGGATGTGGTTTTCCTTTTTTTTTTTTAAAAATCTATATCCTAGCATTTGTGCCCTGGACAGGAGTGCCCCAGAAGAGAGCCAAAGGGGAGAGCATCACTCTAGGCTTGACAGGTATCTACAGCTGAGTCGGAAATTATGGTAGGAGCCTGTGGAGGGCAGCGCTGTCTTGCTGGGGATGGCGTACTGAATAGCTCAGAGATGCCAGCTGCTAAGGTAATGCTTTTTTTTTTTTTTTTCGTTGTTTCTCCTTTGAATGTGGAAGCTGCAGCTGTCAAAGCTGCCCTCCTGCCACAGCCAGGGCCTGTCACTGCAAGCAGCGAGGACGCCCCATTTCTCCATCCCTTGCTGCAGCACAAGCCTGGGCACAAGGAGCTGCCACCTCCAGGGCTGCTGGCTTTGACAGGGGAGGGCTGGGGGAGGCAGGACGGGGCTGGGGGCACCACCGAGGTTCTCTCCCCATGGAAAGATACGGTCTTGGGACAACATGTGCAGATCATTGCCCCTCAGCCCAGCTCTGGTGCCTCGCGAGCAAAAGCTGGTCTCTTCCAGCCCGCTTTGGAGGAGCCACTGGGCCCCACCACAGACACCAGGCGTGAATGGAGGCGTTGGGCAGAGACGGGGCAGGGAAGAGGTGTGGGAGCTCGGGCTCTCCCCAGCCAGCAAAGCGCTGCTGCAGCGCAGGGCTGGAGACACCTGCAGCACCGGGTGGCTGGCAGGGCTGCGCCCCACTCCTCCCCAGTGCAATGCTTAAAGCGAGGGCTGCATTTGCCAGAGCCCTCAATCTGGCATCTTTCCCGAGCAGTAAATTCTCTTAAAAAAAAAAAAAAAGCCAACAGAGCTTTAATTGTACATTCTGCTTTTCTCTTCACTCCAGAATAATGGAAATGGCATTAATACAGTGCTGCATTGAACACATACCCGCACGGGGGCTGAGGGACTGATTCTGCTTTCCACGAGGCAGGGGCACTGCCTCTGGTGAGGCAGATCAGGGTTTAAGGAGCAAGCAGGAGCAATGAACTTCTGCTGCTCCCCGCTGTTTGAACGTGGGCAAAATAAAAGGCCATAATATATGATGCAGTCAGCCAAGAAAGCAATATTGCTCTGCCATGTGCGCGGTCTATACTGAGACGAGTCCAGGATCTCATTTCAAAATTCCCATAGGTTCCTCATTTAAACCATCAGCCGTAACCTGCTTCTCATTTTCAATACCACTTGGTATTAGAGCTGCAGCGAACTGCTGGTGAGAGATTCTAATTCCTGCAAACAAGCCCCTGTAGGCTTGCAAGGAAAACAGAGAGTTTCCCCCCTCAGTTGCCTGCTAGGTTCCCATCTGGCTGTTTTAACTCTGCTATTGCTTTTAAATGCGCCTGTTTCTGTGCATGAGGCTTTCAGCTCTACCTCAGGAGACTCCTGGGTTCTCTTAGCATCGGATTCTGGCCAAAATGTAGAGACACAGATTGGGTCTTCTTAACAAAAAAGAAGATCAGGTTTCACATTACAGTATCTGAAAGATTAATTCAACTTACACGATCATTTCCCTGTGAACCACGCTTCTTTCCATCTGGATTTTTCCATCAGGAGGACAAAGAGCCATAGTGTTAAGCACTACCTGAGAGAAAAGCACAAGGAGTGTAAAAGATGTGTGTAGGGATGCCTGGTCAGAGAAAAAGAGAAAAAAAACAGGGTAGAGAACAATTTAAAAATGTATCATCATGCCTTTTTTGTTTGTTTTTCATGCAAATTATATTCTGATCTCGTTCTCTAGTATTTTGCACCATTTCGTCTGTTGGTTTTTGTTTCAGGGAGTTTAGGATATTTGGCTGCTGGAGCCTTCTGTGTCATGTTACTGTTATCTAGTGCTTGCGCTATTGTGGTAACCAAATGTCCACCCAAAGCCAGTGCTCTGCAGTGCCTGAGGCTACCAACCACCTAATGTAAGACCTTGTTACTGAAAGACACCTGTCCCCATCCAGGCTGTCATCACTGCCACAAGCAGAGCCAGGCCAGCTGAGAAATGCTAACACAAGAGACAGAGGAAAGATAACGTGAAGGTGGTTACGGCAGGGCCTGGGGCTCAGCTGCTGCCCTGCCATGGGCTCCTCTTGGGACTTCAGAGAGATGTTCAGCCTCTCTGCAGCTCAGTTCAGGCTTTAGGAGACGTGGAAGCAACCATGGCAAAATGGCATCAGGCCTTCCCCATCACAGAAGTGAACGTGAAGGCTGCTCAATTAGTCTGTGTGCATGTTTAGTTGCACAAAATGTGTTTTTCTCAGCCAGGAACAAGCCACTTCATCTTGTTTTCATACTTGAAAAGATTTTATGCAATGATAAAATAAAACTCCCAAACAAAAAATAATTCTTAATAGAAAAAATGGAATTGGACTTTTTTTTTCTTGAAATACGAAAACGAACTATTTCAACCCCATCAATACTGGAATATTTCCTCTTCCCCCATCCCCCCCCCCAGGAATTTGCTGAGTTTTGTAAGACTGGAATCTGCAAGTCCAACACAAATCTGTTAAATGCTTTGGACAATTCTAGTCAGCGGGGGCTGTGCATTTATTTTCTTTGCCAGAAAAAAAATTATCTTGCATAGAAAATGGCAATTTTTTCTAGTACAGTGGGAAGAAGAAAAAGGGAAGGGAGGGAAGAAGTACAATGCTCCCTAGCTTGCATGGACTAGATCTCTGCAGAAAGTGTTAGTGACCTTGTAAGACTGATTTTTCTTCCTGATACAAAGGATTGTGCCATCCTCCAGTTACTGTTTCCAGCTAGAGCAGCTTCTGCGAGCCACCCAGAGGGGGAAGTGTGTAGAGTAACGTGATCAGTGGCAGCACTTCTGCTAACTTTGCAGTATCTTGAAGTAGAAGGGGGTGGGGAGAAAACCCTCAGCAAAATCCCTGGTCCTCAATTAAAAATTTCATATTACCTTCCTCATTAGTCCAATCATCTGGTATAGTTATTTCCAAGCTTATCCTGAAGGCCCCGCGGAGTCATTCAATTTCAAGGCCAGCACAGAGCGGAGCGGAGCGGCATGGCTGGGAGGAGCTGTGCTGCACGTTGAGATGAGGAGCTCACTTGTCTGCTATTAGTCACAGGAAGCAAGTAACGCTGACGCGCTTTTTGGGAAGAGGATTGCTGTATGAAAGGGAGCTCTGTTGCAAAGCACCTTGCTGGCTGCAACGGCTGGAGACGCCTGTTAAGTTTCACCATCACCAAGAGATCTCAGTTCTAGCAGGCCAAGAGAATCTCCCCAAAGTCAGGTCTTGAACAAGAGGCCTAGCGATGCCACCTCTTCCCCTCTCCCTGCAAATCATCTCCATTACCGTAACAACCTGACAGATTAAACAGGAGCTTAAAGCAATGGGGAGCTACGACAAATGAAAGTTTAGGAACCATCTGCTTACCTCCACAACTTCAGCTTTTTAACATCTGCAGCGTCTGAGAGTCATACATGCTCCTTGGAAATTAGTCCATGGTCTTCTGAATCTCCAGATGTAGGAGCTCTTGATTTCCTTCTACTGCTCCAGCTTAACGTTCTGTATCAGTGAAAATACAAAGAGATCACAACAATGCTGGCAGTAGCTCTCAAGCACAGGGCATGACTTCTGCAAGGCAGTGTAACATGTAAGGCAATGCACATTATCTTTTTCTGTGCTATTCTTCATGCTAATCTGTGCTGGGAGCACACAACATATTCCTTTATTAAAGCTCTTGGTGTTACATGCCCTGAAAAATTTGTAGGCTTTTTTCCCTATTCCTTCTTTACTTTCCTGAGTTACTCATATGTAGTTCTTTTCCTTCATCATTAAAGGTAAAAACCAGTTAACTTTTTTCCATCTCCCCCACCATTTTTACTGTGCTTTTCATATTTTGCTTATTAAGTAGTTACCCCAGGGAGACTTCCTTTTTATTGGAATGTACAAAAAGCTGTAGCTGCTCTTAACATTTGTGGGGAGGAGGAGGGAGAGGGGAGTGGGGAAAACAAATTTAGTCTGAGGTCACGGGAATATATGTGGTGTGATCAATAATATGCCTTGCATCATCTGAACTACTTTTTTTCCATAAGCAACAAGATATCCTCTTTTGCTTTCTGCTTATGCCTCTCATCAGCCTACGCTGTTTAAAATAACACACTTGCCTGTTCAGACAAAGTTGTTGTTGGGCTTTTGGAACAGCATCCATCTAGCTGCTGCTGCTGTGGGGCAGGGGACAGACTAGATGACTTCCAAAGATCTATTCTGGACACATAACCTTTTGCAAAATAAACACAGGCCACCCACCTCACTTTGGGAACAAGTTCTCATGTGGCTCCCACATTGATAATGGCTTTAATACCAACAAGCAACCAAACAAAGCTCATCAATGTTCTCTGGAGGCGAGAACAGCAATTCCAGATAATGAGATCCTGGCAGGGGAATGCTCCTAAAGTCTCAGAGAAGGGCCTCCTTGGATGCCTTTGAACTCTTGCTCTTGATAGAGTTCTGCTTCGGGCTGGACTGAGCCTCCTGGGTCTAAAACAGCAAACAATGTTGTAAAAGGGGCACAGGATCTACTGCAGGCTCTGTAAGGGAGCAAAACAGTCCTAGTTGGGATTCTTAATGGCAACAAAGCCAGAACTTTCAGCCTCATAATTTTCCAAAATTTATATGCTCTTTTTCCTCACATCCCAGGTAAATGCCCTACCCTTCAGATGAGAGAAACAGCCTCTCTCTGGAGACAAAATAGCTATCGCCTTATTTATACAAAGTGGAACAGCTCCCAGAAGAGAGACTGAGACAGACAGACATAAGTATACTGGTATAGATGAGTGTTCAGGGACATTCACCTGAGATATACAGAAAACTAGTCGAAATTCTCTCTGTATCTACCTATATACACACATACATATATAACTGTATGTGTGCATGTAGATCTGCATGTGTGTATATAAATACATCCATATAAATGAAAGAATAACTCTACACACATATTTTATGTATTTATACATATACACCGTATGAATATGTCTTATATACACATCCTAAGATTTCCACCCTGGCCCTAGAAGCCTTGTGAGTTTAAGTCAGTCCAATGATTCATTCTTTCAAAAACTTCCAGTTTTAAGTAGCAAGAAGCAAGTGTGCACAAACACTCTCCAACACAAAGTGCTGGAGCTTTCCTGTATTACACTCATCAGAGCTACAGTAACAGCAATAATACCTGCACCTACGAGTTTCAGTCAATGTTGTGTTCGGGTGGCACAGGACGTTCTTTTTCAACAGCGTTACTTGACAAGAAATTAAATCATATCGTCTTATGCTGCAGCCTCCTCAGGGGATGAATTACATGCTGTAGAGTCATACCACAGAGTCAATCCTGCTCTCTGGATGCTTTCAGCAACACCTGCAGGCCCTACTGCACACACCAGTTATAATAATGTAATGCTATTTGGAGGGTAATGAACAGGACTGCTTCCTAGGGAATATTATTTCTGTATGAAAATTTCCTCTTAATTCATTTCAGAAAAGCTGTCTCTGAGACAAACCGAGTGTGTGCAAGAGAGGAGCAAGATGCCTCACACCAGAGATGACTCTTCCCCAACCAGCAGTGCAGGGAGCCCAGATTCCTACGAAACACCAGCGCTAGCAGACCTCCAGCGGCTGATTTGGTTCAGAGGAGGGTCGGATAATCACGTGGACCAAGTCTGGCCAAACATTTACCTGGGAGATGCGTAAGAACATATGGTCCTATTATTAAGCTGTTATCAGTCCCTGGGAGGAGAAGGAAGGGATGTGGTGCACTGGGGACCAGCTGTTGGGTCTGTAGGAATGTTTTTACAACACAAGCTTCCAAAACTGATAACACAAGGACTTTGAATGTCATGAAAAACATGACAGACAAAAGGGTAATTTATAGTCTGAGTTGTGTTTTCTGCATTCTGTGAACCACAGCAGACTTTGGCAGGGTAAGAATTATTTGTATTCTAGACAGAAGTCTAGAAAGAACCCGTCCCAAATTAGTGTCAACTGTGAGAAGCATTATCTGCCCTGGGAACTGAGCTCTCGGGCAGCAGACAAGGCCACAGTAGCCTTCTACTCAAATACAGGAGCAGCAGGATCAGGAGCCAGATGGACAAGGACCCAAATAAAATTTGCAGTAAGGATTTTGGCAGTCCAAATCCAAACTTCTTTTCAAAGGCGGTAAAATTGAAAATATTAAGCAGGATTTTTCATGCAAATACCTCATACTCATGACTACTTCTATTTAGTGCTGTTTCCTCCTATTTAGATTACCGCAAATTACATAGATCATCAGATGGCCATAACAACAGCTCATGTTTACCAACCCTTTCTCCTCCTCTTTATATATACATCAGTCAAGGAGCACAGCTTTATGGAATAACTTCAATCCTAGTTTATGGCTGGAAAGGGGGAGAACCTGTCTGGTGAGCATGACAGAGCCGCTTCGTGTCCAAACCAGGAACAAAGTGCTGCATCTGGGAGGGTTCTCGCCCTTGCCACCCACGCACACAACGAGTGAGAGATTAGCTGCAGATCTCATTAAACAAGTATTTGAAGTAAAATCTTGACCGCTCTATACAGTAAGCAGTGTTCCCAGGGGCTAACTGCTGGGAAGTATTTGCTCAGCTACCAGTATACCACAGGCAAGCCTGTACTCACGCTGCTCTCCATACCACCACACCACATTTTTCATTTGCTATGTGCTTCTTCACATGTGCTGTAAGCAGGCTGCATTTCCTGCATCCTTCCCTAGAGGGAGCAGGCACCAACGTTAAACCACGATATTTTAGCAGAATGTTAGGCGTGCTGCCAATGAACCCTTCGCATCTTTCAACAGGTGGGCTGCGAGGTGCAAAACTACTCTTCAAAGCCTCAACATTACTCACATCCTTAATGCAGCAGATGGACCATACAGTATCAACACGGGAGCCAGATATTACAAAGATCTGCAAATAGAGTACTTCGGAGTAGAAGCATTTGATGATCCTTCCTTTGATTTAAGTATCTTCTTCTACGATGCTGCCAATTTCATAGGCAAAGCCTTAAACACTTCAGGAGGTAAGAGAGAGGAAAGGTTTGGGATGAAGCTTCAACGCGAGCCAATGGGGCCTCCCATTGTACTAATAGGGCTTGTGAAAGCACACGCAGAGCGTGGCCAGGAGGACAGGAGATGGGGCTGCTGCTCCATAGCACATGAGGAGGTGGCCACGACGAGGTGGCTGCCAGCTAGGGCTGGCAGCCCCATGCCCACCCTGCAGAAATTGCCTCCTGGCAAAGTCCGAGGGCCTGCTTGCTGTGTCTGTGCCCCCAGCACCCCGGCCAGGGCTGCAGCCTGGAGGCTCAGGCCCCGCACCGCGAGGCAGCTCTGTGCCTGCTCCCCGCTGGCACCTGGGAGCACTGGCTGACAGGCTGCACGTGCCAAAGTCCTTCACACAACCGGAGCCTGGTCCAGGCTGTCTATTAAGCTAGAGAAGCAGCACAAGTTAATGAACTAAGTCACAAGCTACGAGTCTGACCCGCAGCCTGCTGAATTTTTGTCAGCAGAGTTTGGATTAGGGCCTAGTTATCATAATTTCCATTTGTTCCAGAGCTTGCTCCGACTCTGGCTGTGAGATCTTGCTGCTTTCGCTGGAGTGCTTTATTAAATCCCTAGTTATAGCTCACACTGGGCTGCTGAGATACAGTAAGTTACGAGCCCATTTTTATAGGCAGACTGTCCTACAGAGTTTATGGGACTTGTCAATGATCACAGTCTGGGCTGGACCAAAATTTTCTGCCAAAACCGTTCCTTTTTCCACAAAAAATTACACTAATGTGTTTTGTCACAGAAAGCGTCTCCTTCCACAGAAAGTTTTGGCTATTTTAATCTGGGAACAAATATCTGAGAACCCAGAAAGTTTGGATGAGAACTGGTTTGGGAGCAGAGAAGCCAGCCTAGGTTCCTCAGCCCTGCTCTCCTGTATGGTGAGAGCTCCTCATGGGACTGGAGGCCTCTCTTGCAGGGTAATGGCCAGCAGATCCCCTGCGCACTGCTTTGTCAGCCCAAAAAGCACCCAGGAGCTATGCAGCCTGCAGGGGGATAATGCAAACATGAGGCTCTTGAACTATGTTTAACTTCGCAACAACTTTTTGAAATACATGTCAGTATGGGGGTGTTTAGTCTTCTACCTCTCCACAGCGCTCTTGAAATCTTACATAAAAAAAGTCCATCATGCAATAACTTTGGTCAGGGAAGAACATTCATAATGCTCCATTTCCAGTATCTACCTTCAGTGCTTATGTCCATTCTTTCTAGTGCTATTAAACATCAAGATAAGCTGTGTAAATGGCATTCTTCTCTTTGCTAAATACTGAAAGGCCTAAGCTGGATGCATATACTCAGTACGAAATACCACTTCAGCTGCGATCTATAGCACAATCTTAGGTAATCTACAAAAAAATGAGTACCCACTGAACACCACAGCTACTTTGCCAACTCATGTCTTGTAGTTTTTGTCCTCTCTGTATTCCCTTCACTTTAGAAATGCTAAAGCCTGCTCACCTCATGTCTCTTCTTTCTGCAGGTAAAGTGTTTGTGCATTGTGCCATGGGGGTAAGCCGCTCTGCATCCTTAGTGCTTGCCTTTTTGATGATCCACAAAAACATGACACTCGTGGATGCTCTGAAAACAGTGGGTTCTCACAGAAACATCTGCCCAAACACAGGGTTCCTCAGCCAGCTCCGAGACTTGGACATTAAATTAAATGAAGAGAGGAAAGGAAACAGAGAATCTGCTGGCAAAAAGTTATAAGAAAGTATTCCTAAAAGAAAGAAAGAAAGAAGACAAAACATTACTTGAGTTTCCTAAATCTCTTTCAAATGTATTACAATTGCAAACTAAGGATGTAAGTTTAAGATACACTAGAATGCATGTTATTAGTAAAAGTACATTTTACTTGATCTTCCCATTTTGCAACACCATCCTAGATTATACTTACAGTTGATTGTGTATTGTATCCTTCACTCTCCACCTTAAAACATTGCTCTTCTGGTTTAAGAAAAAAAAAAAAAAAAAAGATATCAGGTTCCACTTCAGAAATAGCTGCATTTCAGCAACGAGTGAAGCTCATATCACTTTATGAAGTGTTAGGCTATTTGAGGTGAAAGATGCCATATTATTTATGCTACAATAATGCTCAGAAGTTTTCTTATGAATCAGCCTCCCCCCCACCCCTTTTGCTTTCCATATCTAAAATGGTTTATATTTTGAGACTTGAATCTGGCACTAGTTAATTCTTGCTTTTACAACTGGTGGAGCCCCTGAGTTGGGGGTAAAGAGGCTGCTTAGAGGCAGAGCAGCTGGGATACAACACAAGCCACTCTTAAAGAAATGATTCCAAGTCTATTTACAGTGATTTCCTTTTGACTGTTCATCAAATAATCATTGTTTTTTTTTTTCTTTCATGAAAAAATCTTTGTTCAAGAGGGCACTCAAATCCTCTTCATCTTCCCTAGTAAAATTCATCCAGGAGGTGCTGTGGAAAATGCTTCTGAAGAGGAAAGTGGGTTCCAAGCTGAGGCTCCGAACAGCCACATAGGCAGTGGGAGTGGGTGCAGGAAGGAATTTGACAACAAAGTTCAAGGGATCCCAAATCTGTCTGGCAGTTCAACATCATAAAACTCATGATTTTCTTTCTCAGAAATAAAGGCCATTAGCATTGCAACATCGTGTTCTGTGGCATTTGCTTTTGTGAGGGGACTCAAGTGAAAACTGAAGGGACACAGGAACAGCAAGGGAGGTGCTGACAGGCGCCAGACTTTCATCTTTGTGTCTCTGGGCCACCATAGGAGTGCTCAATAGCTACTGTCATCTGATGGATCAGTGCTGCCTGGAAACTATGAGAGGCACATCTGGCTCTCGGTTCCCAGTGGACAAACGTTCAGAGCACAAAGCCAGCTCGGGGATGGCAGTTGTTTGCATTCCCGGTACCACACTTGGGAAGGCAGAGGCATGAATACTGCCCACCATGGCGAACCGGCTGCTCAAGAGCAGCTGAGCAACAAGGGAAAACATGCCTTGCCATTCCCAGTGCTGTCTGAAAGGCAGATTTCTGCCTTCCTGATGGACAACTCAGTGCCTTTTAAAAGTCTCTAGCAGCATCTACATCTGCTACGTAGACCACGCAATGGGAGCACAAACATGAAGCAGCACTTTTGGCTCTGCAGACCTGGTTCTCACGCTGAGGGGATCTCAGGGGGCTTTGTTCGGGATGAGTCCTGCGAATTGAACATCCCTGGGCAGCAGCAGAGCAGCACTGGAGCACAGCCTTGCTTTAGTTCCCTGCCTAAGGAAACCTGCTCGTGAGCTCCAGGGCTGCTCTACAAGGTCAACAAAGACACAGTGCATAAGAAGGGTCATCTTAAAAGCGTACTTTGGACCCAAATCCAAGTGTGATATGTGCATCTCAATTAACTCAAAATAATAATAATAATAATAAAAAAGGCTTTCACTTTGCAGAAGTAGTGGACACCACCCCCAAGATGCAGATCAGGCTGCAGAGGTGCCCCCAGCCCCAGCCCCTCCTTCCTCACGCTTCCCACCCGCAGGAGTCCCCCCGCCTCCCTCAGCAGCAGCAGGCACCGTGCCCGGCACCAGCCCCAGCCCCCGGCCCCCAGCCCCGGCCCCCAGCCCCAGCCCCAGCCGGCAGAGGCCGGGCCCCGGCCGCCTCCCCGCAGCCGCGGCGCTGCCGCCAGGTGGAGCCCTCGGCACGGCGCGGCCCCGCGCCGGGGCCAGGCCGCGGCCACCCCGGGCTGCAGCCCGGGCCCTGCGCCCCTCAGCGGCTTCCGAGCCCCAGGCCCCGCAGCGGGCTCCGGGTGGAAACCCGGGGTAAAAGGGGCAGCCACGGCCCCAGGCGAGCCGCCCTGCCCGGGGGAACCGGGCACGACCCACCCGGGACGAAGCCCCCCGGCCGCGGGTCTCGGGGTGCAGGCGAGGGCAGCCCGGGCACCTCAGCCCCCAGCCCCAGCCCTCATCCCCCTGCGTAACCCGGCTGCCAGCTGCCTGCCTCCGGCTGATGCTCGCGGGGCCAAAGAGGGTGGGGGATGATGGTTTATAATTAACACAAATAAAAATAGACTTTGAATAAACTGAACACGGGGAGGCTGGAAAGTTGTGCGCGCCGCTGGGAGGTGAGGAGGAAGGCAAGGGGCGTTACTCGGGGAAAGGTAAACTGAGGCACGGCCGCGCGGGAGCTTCGCCCACCACCAGGCAAGTACCTGAACGCTGCTCGCAACCCTGCCCCTGGCACCTTGCTGCACACAGCAGGACACGGGCAGGGCTAGGCCAGAGTACTGCCGCCGGTACTCCCATACTTGTGAAACTCTAGTTCGCCTTCCAGCTGGGCTCCCGCGGTGAGGAGCCCTCGCTGGAAAAGATGCTTAAATGAGAGCTTTTCCTGCTATAAATACCAGTCCATCTTCTTGTTATAGATGTTAGTCGATACTGGAATTTCTTAAAGATGCATCTTTAAGATAATAGCTGTGAAGTGCTGTCTACAGGTTTCCTACCTCTCAGATGATGTGCACAAGAGTCATTGAAACTGACGAACCAGCTACACTGGAGAAAATGTGAAACAGACTATGAGTAAAATGCTGTGCAGTTCAAAAACAAACGTGGGGGAAAAATTAAGAAGGTTGGGAGAGGGTAGACAATAACAAAGAGTTTCTTTGCCTTTTTTTTTTTTTTCAATACTCTTTATAGTTTGGGCTTCTAGGGTTTATTTATAACTAGGATAAAATTCTCAGGCAGAAGTGGGATTTTTTAATATCAACAGCCTTCCTCTGAACGTTTTTATTGAGGAAATATGTTTGGGATGCTTGGAGTAAAAGAGTACAGAAAGAAAAGACTGGGTTAAATTAATTCCTGCTAAATACCTACCAGCAGACTCGCTGTCTATATGGGGAGCTGGAGACAGAATTGTACCAGGGTAAAAAGGATACTGTGTCTATTTATAACTCTGCCTTCACCACCGTAGGAATTCAAAGGAAAACTCCAACTCAGCACACAGTCTTCTCATCATCTGCTTCTGTCAAGATTAAATCGGGGCTGAGATCATTCCCTTCCCCTGCAAATCTCTGCAAGGAAGTATTTGTTCCTTTCTGCACGTAAAGGACTACCGCAGTACAAATCGCCTCAAAGCTCATGTGCTCTGGGAGCCCTCACCCAGCAAAATGTCACCTCTTCCACTGCGCTATCCAGGGTAGGGGAGCCTCACAAGCCCCCAGCAGTTTAGTAGTGAAGACCATGGGTGTCTCACCTGCTCTGCATCCCCACTCCCTGCACTGTCCCCAGCCCTCTTTCTTACACCAGATGCTCTGGGGACTTGCAAACAAGAAGGCAGCACAGCTCCGGTGTGCCCCCAGTGCCAGGTCGCATGGAGCAGGAGAGGAACAGGGCCCCCAGCCCTGGGTCACACCTGCTCATCGTGCCACGTACTGAGATGAGATCCTTGTCTTGCAGCCTCTTGCCACTGGGAGGCATCCATCTCTGGAAAGGAGGGGGTGCAGTAGGTGCGTGGGGTGCCTTGTCTTTGGGAGAAATCATCTCACACGATATGAGTACACGTGAGAGTAGCCTTAGAAAAGGTATTTGCAAAAACCTGACCCCTATGCTAAAAATAAGGCAGGCTCCTGGAGTTCCTCAGCTCCACTCTTTTTCAGCGTTATGGTGTCTCAGATCTTTCCTTCTCATCTTGCACCTTCCAGTTTCTCTTTAATAAGAGCTGCTCTTTCGTTCTTCACAAAGCACTATCTACTCTACTCTCTCGGAGCTCCTCTTTTGTAATTCTGTTATCAAGCTGTCTGCTAGGTGGGGAGCAGAAGGTGCAGGACTTGGTGCTGCCTTTGAGGTACAGCTAATTATTATGTGCATCTGTTATTATGGTTGCTGCCTCAACAGGTGGAAAACATGCTGTTCTCTGATAGATTGGAGCACTCTGTGCTCCTGCCTCGTCTTTTCTCTAAAGCCACTCGTGTGGTGTTCCTAAAATAATAAACACAGCCTCACTGCTGCCACAAAAACCCCTGGTAAATATATTTTTATGGGAATGAAATATTAAAGGATTTGAACAGTTATTCACTGAAAGCAAAATATGAGCAGTAAGGTTGGGTAAAGATTCAAAGGCTGGTTTGCTTCCTCTCCCTGGGGCACATCAAGGCTGTACTGCTTACACTTTAGAGATGGATAGTGGGGAATTACTTAACCCAAAATGATGGAAACAATTCAGACTATAATAATATAGCATGAGAGTTTCTCACATTACATCTATTCCCCATACTGCTGGCTATATTCTGCCTTCAGATTCATGTGCACAACTCTCATTGGATTCTGGAGGAACAGTATCTGAAGCCAAAATGCATTTCATTGTCTTTCTGAAGTCTCTCTACGGTATAGTTGGTAAATCCTGAGCTCAAGGACTGGGGACAAAGCTTGTCTAAACATTTCCCAGTGCCTGTCTCTGCAAGATTCCCATCTGCTGTGTTTTATTTTGAATTTCATCTTCCTACTTTCCTAAAAACACAAAGCAGAAACACGTTTCCTCTGCCCTGGAGAGCAGGAATCACCAAATTTCCCAGCAGGTTCTCTCACAACATGTGATGGATCCAAGTTTGTCTAAAAAAACTACAAACCCTTTATGGAGCAGAAAGGGAGGAGACCAGAAATGTGGGCCAAGTTTCAGAGTGTTATGAACACCTCCCAGCCCCCAAAGGGGCTCCATATCCTGTTTCCTCTCTCCCAAAAATTTCACCTGGCTTTGGGTTTCATTAAGAGAAATACACATTGCTCAAGTCCAGGCTCTAAGACTTCGGTTCATGCTTCCTGCTGACACTGCAGGAGAGCCACAAAAGCTGAGTCTGACCTGGGGGCTTCAAATTTACTACAATAGCAGAGCAAATTAAATAGAGAGCACATTAAGTGGCTTGGGAGATTGTTGTTGACCAACAAATCTTCATTAAGTTCCTGCATCAAGCTGTGCTATACCTCTGATGGAACTGGTTACTGCATCTCCATCTTCGTTTCAACTACTTCTCCACCAGGCTTAAAACAAATTCAGACTTGTTTTAGGTCTAATTAGAAACAAAATACAACATTAAGTCACCTTGCCCCGTGTATGCACCCAGTTTGGAGGTGTTGGTACATCATTCAAGCAGGCCAAATTCTTCTCCTTTCACCACCAGTTATTTGCTGCCCTGGTTTTCATTTACTTTTATTTAATACCAGTGTCTCGTGGTGACTTTGTTCACTGTGTTATGGGGACTTTCTGGGTCACTGGTTTGCATTACCAAAGACAAGGTCTGAGATCTGTTCCTGGCACTGCCCTCCAAACCTTTCAGCTGAGCACACCCTCGAGAGCCACCAGCACAAACCCCAAGAGCTTGTAGGACACACATCTCCCCATGGCAAAGCCTGTACTCTGATAACAGCAGCTTTGGCAGGATTAGAGCAAAATCTTTTTCTGGCTTCTGCAGCTGAAGGGAGACTATCACAGCAGGGGCCTCTGACATCGCTTCCCGCAGACCACTACCATAAAGATAGCTCTATAGGTAACACCCAGGTGCCATGCTCTTCTGCTGCATGGATTCTAAAAACACTTGCCCAATTTAGGCTAAACATAGAGAAGTTTAAGGGAAAAATACAGGGGAAGACAAAGGAAATTAAACGGCAGTGCTGAGAGTTAAGTAGCCTTAGCATCTGCAACATGCATCGCAGACTGTCCTTGCCCTGAGTTAAGAGGAGAAACAATTATTTGGTATTTATCTTCTAAATACAAGGTAAGAAGCCAAAGGTACATGCAGATGCACCATGAATGGGCGAGTTAGCCTGTAGTATTATGCTTTGCCTGATAACATTTATGGTGGCCAAACTACGTGCTGTCCATGGAGATTGATTGTACCCCGTACTATGTTGTCTCAAAACACTTGAAATATGTGGATGGGACTCGACCCTATTTGTATCAAAGAGAAAGCCTTGATTGTTTGGGTTTGTGCAGCAGTGCCACAGCACATGGCTTTTACTAGTTCCTAGCACCTGGGCACAGCAAGGAAACCTCCCCTTCACAAAGCTGCCTGTCGTGTCCCAGGCACGGCTGAAGAGTGCAAACACAGCAGCTGCCTAATGGGATCTGAATTATTTTTTGCTAATGGTTAGTTGGCTTCCAGCTCTAGAAGAAAACAAGTTCTGTTCTGTGACTTTAGAAATATGGTAAAAGTTAACCTAAAGGAGAAATGATTAGAAATACCTGTGATCCCAAGAGCTAATACAACTGCTGGGAAATTCTAGACCTCAAATCAGCTGTGCTACAGAATGATTTTTTTCCCTTTCAGCAGACTTAGTAGTGAGATTTTACAATGAGAAGAAAGCAATTTGCATAGCTGACTTGGGATTTCATCTCCTTCCATTGCATCTCTTAGACTGCACACACATCACCCAGCAAGTCTCGTATCTGTTCAGTCTCATACTGACCTCTGTACTAACTTGATTTATTGTTTTTTAGCTCTCATATAGTATATTACGTTATACCCCAAAGGGTCTGATTAGAACTGTCCAGTATTTTAATGATTTATGCGGGGCATCTGGGACTGCACGGGTAGCATACGTGTTGTGTCACTGCTATAGGAGGAGCCTTTATTGATCCATACCAGTGTGCTCCAAGACGAGAGTGTCAAATTCCAATAAGCTTTAGTTTACAAACCTGATTTGACAGGTGGCCAAGCCTGCACTGGGACTGACCATAGCTCTCATGGTGGGAATAAAACAAAACAGCTGGATTGCTTCTAGCCATTGCATTATGAGAGGATTTCCATTCCTTTCTCTTGTTCTATTTCTATCTGATAGTGCTTAAGGAGGTGTTTATCCTTTCTAGTTTTCCAGCCAGAAACCTGGGCAACAGGAGCTTGCTATCAGCTCTGTGGTCTATCTTTCTGCCAGAAGATACTGGTGAGAAACACAGGCTCCTGGAACTAGCCTTCCCAGTCTCTCTGAGTCCTGCCATGGCTATCACGCTAATAGAAAGCCTCAGATGAGAGAGGCTGTGATGAGAGAAAGAAAGATGAAGAAGCCCTTACTGCAATTGTTTTTAAGCATTTTATAAGGTCTTGTGCTGTTTTCCAGTATGATGATAAAGGATTTTGCAAACACTGAAAGAAAGGTATCAGGAGCACAGTGTGGTGTAATAAGGTTTCTGTGTCCTCAGTTTGATTTTTGCATGTTCTGAAACCTATTTTGAGTGCAAAAAACAAATCTGCTAAAGCATCCCTAGAAGACCTCATCTCCCAGCATAATTTTTGGAAAGAAATCCCACGGAAGGCCAAACTTAACCATGACTTTCACCTCAGTGTAAGTTGCCTATGACTCACTAGAGGTGGGCACAGCTTTTGACCAAAATTACAGTGGGTAAAGCAGGTTCAGCTACCACTACAAGTGCTTGGCAGCACTCCGCCCCTGGCTTCCCTCCCAGCTCAGGCCTATGCAGAGATATAGAAAAATCCAGCACTTCTTTTCCATCTCGACCTGTGTGGTGGGAACAGCAGTGTCTTCCTCACAGGCTCACTGTGATAACTACAAAATGCATCGCAGTGCTCGGGAAACACCAGGGAACCGCGGGCGCCTACCTCCTGCTGTTTCCCATCTTCCTTTCTAACAGGTTGCTCGGCCCTCCTGCCGTGCCAGCACAGGGATATGCGTCAGCTGTCCCCGCAAGTGGGTCGCACAGAGCTTCTTCATGGTGCTGGGAGAGACCACAGGACAAGAACAAAGAGCAGCGAAGCTGTCAATGCCCCCAAAGAGAACAGACCCAAAAAAGCAGCATATTGTTTTTAAGATAGAAGAACATACCAGTGCTAGTCACAGGGGAAAAGGGCTTTGCATTGTGCCATCCTTTTGGTTAAATCCTTGGGGCAGAAACCATTCATTTGTAATGGGATTCTTTGAATTCTGAAGCCTGATGTTTCCAGTGCTGGGCTGGAAGACACTGCTACAGTAGTTATTGTTACAGCGGCCTCATCCACCTTCAGATGTGGCCTGCTAAGCTCTGGTGGGGACACAGGACACCAACCAAAGGGGCTGTGTAACAGCTGGGGTTCTGCGCGAGGCACGGCACAGGAAATCCTTGGCCTCTGACACAGAAATAGACATGACTTCTGCCACAGATCATTTTGGATACCAGAGGTGACCTAGGAAAACTAGATCAGGGTAGATTAAGAACATGCATCAATAAGCAAATCCCAAGATGGACAAAACCATGGGTAAGAGACTGAAAACAACACGCAGGTGATTTTTATCCTTCTTTCATGGAGCTAGATGCAGCGTGCCCAGCAGCCAGGGTGCACAGGGATTTACCCTGCAGCATGCAGCGGTGCCAGGCTCTGCCTCCCACACAGCCACAGCACTGCGGCTGAAATGCACCGCCACAAACGTGAGCCTTCAGTGCACTGGATCTGCTTCAGAGAAACAGACACAGCACATTTCAGGCAATCTGTGAACAAACCTAAGCTTGTACCTCTCTACAGGGTCACGCTGTACTAACACCACCCAGTAACGAGAGCACCCCATGCTCTCTGCAGCTGCGGGCTGCAAATATCGGTGGAACATTACTAAAAGTCATGAAAAAGCAAGCAAGATTTGTGCTGCTCAGGAAGGGCGACAGCTTTGCAGTGGTTGTACAAAAAAAAAGAAAAAAAAGGTCAGCCAGACAGCCCAGCTGGTTACTAGCAGCTCCAAGAAGAAAACAAAATGGCACACATTACTCCTGATTTCAACCTGCATCCATTTGCCAATCTCTGTTTCAGAAATGTTTCAGTAATCTGAGGGTGCTCCCAGAAAAACAAACAAACAAAAAAACACCACAGTTTACCCATTCAGAATAACTGTTTTCATCACAGGCAAGTCATTGCTGGAGGCAACGATACTGCAATTTAACAGCCCTTGTGCACAGGAGAAGAGACAGCCTTACACAGGAAGAACTGAATTTTAGGCAAGCTTGTCTTTGAGTGGGAGCATAAGAATAGCAGGAGGTTCTCCTGAACGTAGCACATAGCTGTTTAGCACTATCATGCTGCAGAATGGGATTTTTGTTTTCTCAATGGAGTGTAAAAAATACCAGTATTGAATGGATGAACACGTTACAGACTGTCAAACCCAATCACCAGTCAAGTCTGGTGGCTGAGGTCTGTCGCAGAAGACACGAGCAATGGTATGTGACCCAGGAGCAGCAGCCCAGCAGGGAGCTAGAGAGCCTCCGATACGAGCACGCTGCTACAGTGACCGGTGGCACACAGAGGTGGCAGATGCACTTTGGACCAGCTGCTGCCTTTGGGTCACATGCAATGCCTCCAGGTCTCCAGCAGACCAGGTTGGGTTCCTGGGTGTAAGGATGCACTTCGCAGCTGGGAGCAGAGGAGTACCAAGGGGCTCCGGAGGGCCCAGTTCTGCAGCTCGCTGCCAAAAGCCCGGTGTCTTTGCTGGGATGCAGGATGGAGAGGAACTGACTTTGCTTGCTTGCCAAGAGCCAAGTTCAGGTCCTTAGAGGTCTACAGAGCTCTCGCTCCAGCTGATGACTTCACGAACACCTAGAGCAGGGAGGAACAGAGCTCCCCGCACAGCTTTAAATGTTTGTGTTTCCTTGCACACGCTGATGATATCATTGCCACCTGAGGGCCTGAACCCTGGTCTTGGCAGGTAAAAGCCTTCTGGGTCACCGTACTTCGGGGTTCTTGCTCTCAATGCATATTTATGTAACGACTGCTAGATGGCTGTAATTAAACGACTGTAAAGCACCACCTAAAATGCACTAGTAATAAATTGGTAATAGCTGATGCTATAACAAGCAGTTACAAAAAATATATCGTAACATGCAGATTGTTAACACAGTGTCTGGGCCTGTTTAATGCACAGCTTTAAATAGTTACAATGCACACTATTAAAATGGCACATAAAATTTGTAACTAGTAAATAAAGGGTCCAATTCAGCAACAAAATACATCCAAGCTTCAGTGGTGAAGAAGCCACAGAAAATTGACTTTTGTGCACACCTTCTGACAGCTTCTCTATAATTATTCGTTACACTGAAGTAGGCCCAAAATAGCCACAAAGAGAAAAAAAAAAAAAAAGTTTTCTTAAGCTATTTTTCCTAAAATCACTAAGCAGCAGAGAAGAAGCCCTGTTCTGTCAGCCTGGTTCCCTAGAATTTCCACCAAAGCCAGAGGGACGGCTTGCACGAGCAAGGCTTGCTTCTCCAAGCATGTCCCTGCCCAGTGTGCCTCTGCTCACCTTCCTCTAGCCTCCTACCTCTCCACCTTCCCAAAGACATTTCACTCACATGTTTACCCTGTTTGGGGACCTTCTTTTCCATACTGAAGATGCCTTGCAAAACTGCTCAAAGGCTTGCTGATTGTTTCTCCAAGCCTTTATCACTGAGCTTGGGGTGGGTGAGGTCTCTCCTCTTTTCTGGGCAGTCCTGCTGGCGGTGCCACCTATCAGCCACAGTTTCTGCAAAGCGTTCTGCATATGCCCATCCCTGCCTCTGTTCTGACTCAGAAACATTGTTAGGATCCCATTTATATTACAAAAAAACATCTGTGTCCAGAAAGCTTTGGCTTTCCATTCAGTGAGCAAGGGGTGAGTCAGGGAAAATCTATTTAGCTGCCCATATTTTTCACTTCTCTTTTATCCAGTCAAAGCTGCAGTGTGGGCAATATTTCTACTGAGATGATTTCCCGTGGCTAAAGAATAAAACAAATATACATGCAAGATGCAGGAAAAAAATAGCCAAATCAGCAGGTGGCCAGGTTTTGCACATTCAGTGCGAATATTGCTGCCAGTGAAAGGGTGGCTGTTTCTGACTAGCCACCATCAGGAGCCACACACATGGTTGGTAAATACAAGTGTACTAACCAGCTGATGACAAGAGAATATTTTATACTACAGTTAGAGAAGAAAATGAGGCCACCCTGCCTCAGGGCCTCCATGCTGCTGTACATCCTGAAACAGTCAAGACCATCAGGTCTGAGCCCTGCTGGCTGGCCCACAGCCTTGCTATGAAAAAATTACACAGACATTTTTGAGGCTTCTGAGGCCTGGCTACCCATAACATCAGTGGAAGTTGTGGTAAATTCAGCATATTTGAGAATCAGGACGGGTTGATTAATTTCTTCCTTACGTTCCAGTAGTGCTTTGCATCAGAAATAACACTGCCAATTTCCCTGGGTGTCACACGGAGGGAAGTTCTGCTTGGGCACAGGAAAAGTGTCCCAGTCACTCTCCAGTTGGGACAGGGAATTTGGTACCAGCACAACACTGAGCAGAGGAACAAGCTGATGCTTTCCTCATCCTTGTGCTGCTCAAAGCTGTCCCAGACATGAACCAACTTGGCCAGTCTGCTCCTCATCGCGGGCTCTGCATGTTGTGCTGAGAGCCAGGCCATCCAAAAGGATTTCGCTAAGTCACACCAAGGCAAGTAGTGGCCTTACCCTAAACGTACAGCTCGGTTAAAGCTGTCCGACTGGAAGCCTCTACTAAATTTGGAAGTGCTCTTCAGATTACATCCTCCAGCTGCCGGAGAGATTTTCTTACAAACAGTTGGCAACTTAAATACCTCAAGCCTCCCTGGAAACTGCCTCTATCACAGCTTTCAAGCCCAGACAGCTTTACCTCAGCCATCGCTGTATTTGATTCATACCATCTATATCCCACAGCGCTTCTAGCAATTGATAAATTATGACTCCAGTGAGACTATCGGGTTAAACACCAAGGAAGAAAGAATGATGACAGTAATACTTGTCATTTGTGTGGAGATGCAGCAACACAAAACCCTCTCTCAAACATATGTTATCTTGGAGGAATCTTTCCGAGGGATAGGCTTTCTGAGAAACGTTTATGGCTTTTGAATACACGATAGGCATGAACTCGACATGACCTACTTTGGCCAAGCCCTGGGCTTCAGCCTGGTCCTTTACCATCACAAATCAAATAGTCTATCTGAAGCACAGTCAGACTGATATCTCCAGAGATGACAAGGGTACAGCACATACCAGCTTGAGGGAAAAAAAACAAACAACACAGGATGCAAAGCACTTTGTTCTCAGGATTTAAAAATGTGAAAGTGTTTTTACTAAAGCTAGGGGAAAACAGCTATGCTCTACCCATACACAAAAGCCAATAGAATACCTGGGATGATTAAAATATTGCATAGATCATTGAAACGGGTGCACTGACACCCTTCTATTGTACCAAAATCTCTCATTTATCTTGGCGTTGGAAAATTGTAAAGAAAAGCAAAGGATATAAGGGCTTTCTACTAGGACACCAGTCTGATATCCTAGACATAAGAGTTGTTTTTCCCTTCTGACTTCCCACAGCATCATGCTGCAGGGTTTCATGTTGTCCCAGCTCAGCCTTCACACCATCCTCTCAGCTTGATATCACACCAGTGTACTGCCAAATGGTAAAATTGCATTGACATTTGATTTTTTTTTCTTATTTAATTAAATACTGTGGTGTTGGAAAATTGGATAAAAGGACTTCAAAAAGGATTCCAAGGACTGTTAAGGGATCAGTCTCTAAAGGCCCTCTCCTCAGCATGGCACCGAACAGCACTAATTATATTATGGAGAAGGCTGTAGCCAGTGAATTAACTGAAAAACAACCAAAGTGTCCAGAGCATATACAGTCCAAAGAGGCACCATCCACTGATGGGAAGAGGGGAAGTCAAAACAGACAGTAAGGAGATACTCTGTGACCTCTCACAGGACCACTTTCCTTTTTTCCAGGGATGTTCCCTGAACATCGCCCAGCAACAAAGCATCAACCTGGCCGTGCTCTTAGTCCTACTGCCAGAAAGTCACTCCTGGTTTTCAGAAAGGGGGTTACAGAGAGAGGCATGGTGCAGTGACATGCACAGCCTGTGTCTAGTTCGCTAGGGCCATCTGAATGACCTTCTGCTTTGTGATAGGCCTCTGATGGCAATTCTCTTGCTCTTCATAATTAAGGAAATTTTATTACACACTGGAACTCAAATTACAGATGTAGTACAAACCAATTCAAAATTAATCTAAATATAATGGTAAAATTTCTCCTACATTAATACATAATAATTGCTGCAATATAACTCTAGTAGGTCAAAGATCAGGAACATTTCATAGGAATATCATTCAGAGGCAGGCATTTTAAAATTGTATTGCTCATCCATATGACACTTCACAGAAATAAATTCACCACAAAAAATATAGAGAGGAATTGAACTGAGACTCATTAAAAACATATTTTTAAAATGAAGAGCCACATTATTACATATAATAATTTTCCCTTCATACTAATTTGTTTTAATCTATTCATACTCCTTATAAAACATTACACAATTTTATTCATATCCTTGTTTTCTTTAAATACGTGCATTTCAGTAAACGACACTTGCATGTATAAATTTAGTGAGTTAAAATGTTAGACTGACACTAGAACTGAGCAGTCATTTATTCAGAAAAAAATGCCTTGTTTTCCTGTCTGTAAATTTTCTATGGAAAGCTGTGATTTTTTTTCAGCGCATTCATTATTCAACATATTAACTGAATAGTCCTACAGAGACTTCTCTGCTTTTGAATCATTCACAGCCTGTTAGTTCCAATTATTTCACATTTGAAATTTGAGCCCTAGTCCTTAGTTTTTATTGGGCATAGAGTTTACACGAACTGATTCTGTTCTCCAGTTGAACAAATGTGACCAGATTGCAGATGGAATAAGTTTCATACACAACTTCCGCAGTTCACGTGTGTATTTCAACAGGAGTAAATTCCTTAGCTTGAATACAAGATCTATGTAAGCATCAGCTCAAAGTCAGCTTAGCATAGTTCTGAAGCAGCACTCCCACCTTACAAAGAAAACCATTATTCCACAACTTTTGGTTACCCATACAGTAAGCAAAGCACACACTGCCTCCTCTCGCCTTGTCTACATAGTTATGTTCACTTCTAGAAAGACAACAACCAAAAAAAAAAATCTCCAACAGAGCAGTTTTCCTAAGGTTTGCCATACTTCAGAGCTGTCCCCCCAGGCTGTTACAGGGATGGGGTTATGGACCTGGAAAGCACAGCTCCTGGAAGGGCCACGCAAACACAGCAGCATTACCAGCACTCTTGGGCAGTGCCCTGTAATTCTCTGCTCACACAAAGCTTAGCAAAGCAAGGCTGACAGCAGCCTTCAGTCCTCTGAGGCTAGGTAACATGAAAATCTACGCATTTATACACTGGAGAGGGCAAGAGGAAGGGATAACAGGCAGCAGTAAATAAGGAACAAAACCCAAAACAGTTGAAAGCAGCTTTATAGGGAGTGAGAAGTGCCCTAGAGTGGTCATTAGCCACACTGCAAGGAATGAGATACATCAAAAAAGGGGAACATTTGCTGCAGATATTATGAGGTGGGAAGGATTGGAGGAGGCTGTTATTCTTGAAACATTTTAATGAACTGGCAGATGGCCTTGTGGTCAGGACACAGGAAATGCGAGTCCCATTTCTGCTGCAGACCTCCTGTGTGGGATCAGAGAGTCACACAGGTGTCTGGGATCACCAGCAGGAGCCGGGGCAGAGCCGGCGCAGGGACACCGGGGTGGCCAGTATCAAAGAAGCTATCAAAATTGATGGGTAATGTCCGTTCCAGTACGGGAATGCCTCCATGCCTTCTCTTGCACAAAGCCATCTGAAATGGGCAAGAACATCTGCTTTTGTTTTCACAGTAAAAGCTGACACTGGAGGAGATATGCACATTTGGGAGGGGAGCACATTCCAGAGTGGAGCTCTTTGTAACACAAACAATACGAGACCATCCTGGGAACGCTGTTTTTTGGTGAAAACGTACTGTATTTTAAAAGGAGGAGACTGCCTGGGAAGGTGGCAGGAGAAGGTGTACTGAAATAAGAGGGTGCCCCCCTGACAGCTGGGAAGCAAGGCAAGTCACCCCAGGAGCACAGCCAAAGGGTGGCTTCTGGCCGGCGTTCACTGGCCTAACACCGACACAGCGGTCACTGCTTCCCTCCTCCGTGGTTGGCCAGCTTCTCCATCAGTGAAACAGTGGATTAATATAAAGGTGCCAAAAGCTCCCAAAGCGGGCTAGCCTTCACCCTCTCTCTGCCTGTGTACACAAAGATAGATGTTTTTAAACAACGTGGCATCAAAATGTGACTTCAGGGCTAGTGAAAGAGCCTTGATGGGACACCAGGAAAACCTCTCACCACAGCTATTGGAAATAAATTGTCAATGTAGCGCTTAAACGTAAATACAACCTATTAGTAAGTGATGGAGCTGTTCAGCATAGAGAAGGAAGGTTTCAGGTCTGCTGTCCTGTACTGTTTTACCCCACACCAGCCCTCTAATCATTTGCACAAAGCACATTGAGCTGTCGATGGCAGAACAAGATTTTGACTCTTAGACTACAAATTCATCCAAGTCCTAGACAGATACTGCTGGTCTAAAGCTGCCTGAGTTGACAGACTTTGCAATATCTCTGCAATGCAGATACTTGACTAGTTTTTAGAACATAGAAACAGACTTTTAAAAATAATTTCTTAAAACAGAACTCTGGTAAAAATGCAGTTTCTATTCTCCTCCTCAAAAATCCTTCCAACAGCCCAAATCTGCAGCTAACACATGGAACTACTATTTCAAAATACATGTACCACATGGAAATAGAGTAATTCCAGAGATAAATTGATTTCTAAAAATAAAATAAAATAAATTTCTCCTCATAATTAAAGTATTTATTTCAAGAAAGCAGAGGAATGTAAATGAAACAACCTATAAAAAACCCTATAGGAATGCTTATGAATGGCAGCTAGAATCACTCTAACTTACTCATGCAGATTCTTTCTACCATGAATATTTGCCATCAGGACAGCAGGTATGGCTGGTAACTACCATTAGAAGAACCAAAATACTCATTATGGTTTCCTGTATTGAATCAGACAATTCAGAGTTAGCCTGTGAGTAAGATTTTGCATGCCCAATTCTATTCAACTCAGCTCAGCTTGTTGATTACAAATTATAAAAGACAACTTAGATGGAGAATATATAAGCAAGTTCTAGTTGCATGGTTAAAGGAAAAGTGCAGCGTATCATATTCGTAACTTGTTTCTATACCCACTGAGTAGCTACAGTTACATGATACATTTTCCATAGCATTACCTCTTTCCATTAAAAGCAGAACTCCTCTCATGCTGGCCTACCAAGTACTGGGCTGTTTTGCTGCACTAACAATAGTGTCTAAAATTCCAAATAGGAAGAGGGAGAGTTTCTATTACTATGAAGGGAGGAAAAAAATAATCATGAAGTTATAATCAACTGTTTGACAAATCTGGAGTAATCAGGTCAAAATAAGCTGAGTACCTGAGCCTAGCAGTTTGCAAAAGCTTTAGCTCCCAACTGTTGCCATAATAATATAAAAATTTATTTTAGAAGCACATGCTGCCCTCCACCTTTCAGGATGGCCTGGGACTCTCTGTGCAGCAGGGACTTACTGCGCCCCACGATAAGAAGAGCCTCAAGCCAGACTCGGGGAAGCCAGAGCAGCGATGAGACACCGTCCCTGGAGGAGCTGCGGCGCCTGCTCTGGACAAAGGCACGCCCCACTGGGCACGTGGATGAAGTCTGGCCAAACCTTTATGTGGGAGACCTGTAAGAGAGAGAGAAGTGTTGAAGGTGTTGATGAAAATCTCAGCCCCTACCCTATCCCTGCCCTAATCCTCCACACTACTTAAAAAGAGACCTAGGCACTAATCTGGGGACCCCTCACAGAAAGTCTAATTGTTGAGCAAGGCTGAACTGTGCTTTAGATTGCACAGCAACCTGAGCATCCTGATATTCCCCTCCAGGAGAACATTCCCCCTCCTGATTTCTCCTCCTGCTTTAGCACAGGAGGCCCACACTGCTGCAGCCTGGTAGGGCCACAGCATCACTGCTGCAGGTGGTCACAGCAGGGCCATGTTAAACAAACACCCCCTGGTTTTCACTTCATACTGCCAGATGGGATCAGTCCCCTGGCCTGACGGATGCTCAGCAGAGGTGACTTGGTGGGAAAGCAAACCAGAAAAACAGTTTGTGCACAAGTATTTCATCACCACCAGCTTTTTATTGTTACTTATCTGAGAGGAACCTAAGTTGGTGTTTGGGGAAAAAATGGAAATGTTGGAAATATAACAGCCAGTTTCTTAAAAAGCCAATTCTGTCTTGAAACATCATTGTGGACACTTTGGACCTAACTAACTTGTCAGAAAACTGCCAGTATGACTGGCTGTTGTAACAAACCACACCATTAGCAGCATGTTTTATCCCGTACTGCAATGCAGCAGCGGGATACAAACTATCCGTCTTCTTCCAGGTACGTCGCTCGTGACAAAGCACAGCTGAGCCAGATGGGCATCTCTCACATTGTGAACGCCGCTGCTGGGCGATTTCGCATCGACACCGGGCCCAAGTTCTACAAAGACCTGCCTGTGGATTACTATGGAGTAGAAGCAGAGGACAACCCCAACTTTGATCTCAGCATTTACTTCTACCCAGTTGCTCAGTACATAAGAGCGGCACTGAACTCCCCAAGAGGTAACTAGACCATCTGTGCACGTGACATACCTTCGGCATGCTCCTTGGTGTAGGAGCCAAGTAGGTCAAGATCAAATAGTACTCGGCATAATCTAACCACCTGCAGATGTGGCTAAGAATGGAGATACACAAACCAAGCAGCATCACACCTGCCTCCCAGACTCCCACAGTGAGTCTGGGAAGCTGATGACATGAGCTGCAGAAAGACTCTCAGTACCTTGTTACTGCAATCATTACCCTGTTCAGGAAAGGACAGAAGTGAAGCCACACTGCTGTTGAAGTCTATTTCTAGCCCTCAGGAATGGCTCACAGCATTCCCTCTTCAGATATTCCTGCTCAAAATCAAACTAGTTATTGCAGAGATCCCCCCAAACTTCTGCAGGACTCAGGGTAGGAAAGCCAAGGCTGTGCTCCCAGCGCAGAGCATCAGACCCTGAGCAAGGGAACATGGCATGGCAGTGACCCACCCTAGGGCATGAAAGTCCTTGAAGGCTGGAAGGCAGGTGTCACTTGAGTGGGTTTTGCTGTTTTTTTGCTTGCTTGTTTTGAAAACTGCATATTGATGTGAGCTTCCTGCAGTTTTCATGTTACCTTTGTGCATGAAGGAAAAATACACAAGAAGATGTGTACAGATGCATATTTTCTCTGAAGGTAAAACAGGGAGGGTGCACTGAACAAGCATTCGAAGGGGTTTTCCCTGTGTCTAATGCTACTTAACATCTCTGTTACCAAAAGACAACAGGATAGCAAACCTCCTTGACTAACTATATGGACATCCTGACCCAGGAGGAGATGCATGCACTTGATCTTGCAGAACTAGTAATGAAGTTTAAAATAAAAGCTGGGATTGTGTAAAAAGATCATAATAAAACAATCTATGCAAGCCTTATAAACACAGTATAGGGAAGAAGTTGCTAGGAAGCAAACTGGTTGAAGAGAACTTGTTTACCAAGTCTCTTGACTTGATAAAACCAGTCAGGACAATATCATTTTATTGGTAAAAAACAGTCAGGAGATAACACTACAATGTTGCTAAGAAATAACCTTGAAATAGGAAGGTAACTGGCCAAATTCTTGGGCTTGCTAAACAGTGTCCAGATATGATGCCAGAGAGCTGGAGCTAGTGGGGACCGTGCTGTTAAGGATGAGCCTTCACAACGCCAGGTCTCCACTGTGCCACAAAACTGAAAAGTGATTTATGAAGAGAACAGTTAGCTATGCACTCAGCAGACTGTTCTGCTTACATGACAGTGAGCTTTAATACCAGTGAGGGTTCCGAAATTTTAACTCCCCAGCCTGGTGATGTGCATCTAGACGATCTGACTTACACATCTAGAGATCTACACTGTACAAGCTAGGAAAGGGAGACACAGTAACAGAAACCAGTGCACCTTTGTGCTAGATATACGAGTTTACTGCTGTTTGGAGTGCATAATCCACCCCGATAGAAAGCACTTGCCTTTGTGGAACTGAGGGTTGCATTTGGATATCAAAACCACTAACATATTTGGGAAACTTGGATCTGCATCCATGCCTAGTACTGCATATACTATTTACAACTGAAGTCATTATTGGTGGTGCTCCAGGGAAAGGTAAGATCCAAAATCTCCTCATGCATGTGCAAAAGGAGTTCAAAATAATAATAATAATTCCAAGCTGATTGACAAAAGACAGAAAACAACAGATGAATCATGGTGGCCACAAAAGCAAACAAAACCATTGTTTTGCAAGATGCATACCCAAATACTCAAAGTTATGAATGCAGAACAAGTCAGGGCTCAAGGCAAACACAATGAACTCATCGTGTCTAGAGTTCCTATTTATCCCTACTCCTGTGCTTTTAGATACTACTTTACTGAACTCCATATGGAAACAGGGCTCTGGGAACGGAGACAAGGTGAAATTCAATCATATAGAGTCCAGCTGTTGCTGACATTCATCATTTTAAGGAAAGTGCAACAGTTTGGAAAATATATAAACAAGATGTTCTAGAAGCATAATTTCCTGAAGTACAGAAATTTAGCAGCTAAATATCCGTGACCTGTGGAGGGATGAGACAGGGAGGGGATTGTTACTCACATCATTTAGAAGAGGAGAAAAAAGCTGAATGTATTACAAGCAGTGATGCTGAACAAAAAATTATACCAGGTGACAAGAGGCCTGTTCATATTAAATTCAAGATGTAATGAGGTACTTCTGTTTGATTGAGAAGTCATTTAAGACTGCTGCTTAACAACTACTAGCAAATTCAGCTTTTTTTTTTTTTTTCTTAATGAAATTAAAATTATCTTTTCTACCTGGGAGGATAAATTGAAGTTAAGACTATCTGAGGCAAAAACATATTTAAAACTATGAATCAAATACTCATTAGAATCAAGCAACAACTGTTTTCCCATCATGCTTGAACCAAATTCTGATATTTTACTCCTCAAATCCAGAGTGCAGCACAGACTGATTTACTCCAGATTTCTGTCTTAACTGAACAGATATTCAGTAATACCAATATTAATCTTGCCCATTTGCATGGACATCTGTGTAGCTGGCATTTTTTGGTAGAGCAGCTAAACCTAAGCATAAATCAGCAAAGTTTGATAAAGTTCAGCAAAAGGGGGAGGAAAAGCAAACTTGAGCACACAGATGAAAGCATGCCATGAAAACTACCAGACTAAAAGAGAAAGATTCCCATGTAGAGAGCTCATCCTTTTATTGCTCTCCAAACATGTTTAAAGCAGGCAGGTTTTAAGTCCCCCATTAACTTACTGAAATTGTAAACCCTCTCAAAGGCATTTCCCTTCTTCCACATCACTGGAGCAAATGAAGAGCCAAGCTCCCTCTCCTTCCTTTTTGTTGCTGTTGTTTGTTGGTTATGAAAGAAGCTTAATTGAGGAGAAAAGGGTTCCTCTCTCTGCCATAGGGACATCCTGTGCCTCACTTTAAGCCACCTCTCCCCAGAAGATGACAGCCCTTACCTGTTGGGGGAGGCCTGGGAAGAAGGGGCACGCTGCCATTTACAGCTCTCCTCAGGCTGCTTGCTGTTTAAAGAAGCACAAACATAGATACTGGTGAATCGAGAAATAGACAATTTGTCATGCACCTGGCTAGAGGCTGGTGGCTAAAATGCAAGGAGAGATGAGAAAAGCGAGGTGGAGCGGGGAGAGCCCCGCTGAGCTCTGCTGCTGGTGGGCAGCGGGGCTCTGCTGGACCCAGAGGAGCAGGGGCAGCTGGGGCACTCGCTCTGGGTGACGGAGCTGAAGCCTGGTCTGAAGCCAAATTGAATCCATCCTGCAAGGAAGCAAGGGCTAGTTCGGGACATTTAGCTCAGTTAATGATGAGTAGCAAAAGGACAATAAGATATTATGTGTTTTAATGGCTAATTTGTTCAGCTACATTGAATTTCCCAACTTGAATTTGGCCAACAAAGTTGAATGTGCAAACTTTATCCCTACTGCAAACCCTTTGATGTCAGTAGAGTTACAGCAGGCATGAGCTGGATACAATATCCATAATCCGTTGTTAAAAACCAAGCGTTATTGTTCTGCACAAATCCCAGCCAGATGACAGTCATTGTCTGCCTCTGCAAAGAGTAGCTCGAGATGCGCGGTGCAACATTTCAAGTAAGGATTGCAAGATTTAATAACGCCAGAAGCTAAATGCCCCCACTTCTCCTCAGTTAATCCCATTATTCCTAAGGGATCCTGTTACACGCTGAGAGAAGGTTGCAACATGGCCCTCTAATGTGGGCTCAGTCCAACTTCTCTTTGGAGCGTATGTTAAAACAAAGGCTGGGGGGGCAGAGTTGGAGGACATCAGCTTGTGGCACGGCTTCTGTGGTGCAGCAGATCTGGTTATAACCTCCCTGCCCATCCCATGACGGAGACATGTACCACAATGGCCATTGTGAAGGCTGCTCGCGAGGGCTTCCAGCACTGCTTTCCCAGGCCCTGGTCCAGCAGCCACCCCAGGAAACCAAGCCACGGTGCTGGGACAAGCTGCCTCCCGTGGGAGGCTGACGCCACGCTCCAGTACCAAGGTCGCTGCAGTCAGCCCACATGCTGCAGACGTGCTCTGGGCACTGCTCAGGCGTGGTACGTCGTGGTGGGTTCAGTGTCACTTAACCCATTTACAGTTCCTGAGAAGGGACGTGGCTCCGAGCCTGTAAACAGAGCTGAAGAGCAACACAGCTTTTGTTTCCTGACTCAAGTTAAACATTCAATTTGTTTGCTGCAAATAATCACATAGTAAATTCAAATCTGCTTTCATTAGAGCCATTTTACGTTAATTAAATCATTTCACATGACTGATCTATCTGCAACAAACAGTCATTTTATTGTCAGTGTACCAGCATTTATCATAACCTCTGTGCACAGTGAAAAAGGCTAGCTGTGGAATAGACACTGCACACGTAAAAGAGGCGATATACCTGCACCCTCATGGGAACAAGTGTATTAGAGAGCCATGCAGATTGGCTCTGAGGTCAATAGCTGGGGCTTGTTCACTTTTGCTCAGACGTCTTCTAAAGCGAGCTGCTGATCTAGGAGGACTCTTTTGAAGTGTAGATAAGCAGGGAAGAAAATTCAGTGTGCTCTTACTCCCCACCTCCTCATCTCAGACACAGAGTTAGATATAAACCAGCAGAGTAGAGCCAGACTATACGAGCAGGAGCCTGGAATTTGTTCTGCTCTCTGTGCCCTCATAAAAACACATCAGGCAGCTTTCGATGGCAGCACCTTTACCTGTGTTCAGCTGGGTCTTCAGTTCCACACTGCAGACGGGCTGAGCGTTTCCCAAGGCAGAAGATTCCTTCTGGGTGGCAAAATATAGACCCAAGAACCATTTTGCAGAAACGAGGTTCAGAACAACAACTCTGCCCAATTCTGGTCAAGAGTAGATTGAGTTTCAAACTATTTAGCACACCAAAATCAAACCCAGCATCAAGGCCTTCTCTATGTTTTTTATTATTATTTTTATACCTTTGTTTGTGCCTTGTGAAAATTGAAATCACCCTTTTACATCACCTTTTACATCACCTTTTAGCAGGAGTGCAAAGCATTTCTCCTCATTCCCACAAAAAGTAGGATGTCATGTCCAAGAACCCCCATAGAGTTAATTGAATTGACAGATAGTGTAACTTAATTTGAACAACAACGTCAAGTTGTGCAGAATACAAATAAATTCTGCAGACCTCTATCAGAATTGGAAAACACAAATGAAAGATCACTTGATCTTCCAATTCTGCAAAACCTTACATTACAATCAAAGACTTCTTCCCTCCCCCTGAGGTTTTGATGCCCAGTCCATCCCTGCTGGCACCAGGGCTGTTTTTGCTGCTTCCTTGGAGACTATATTTGTCCCTTTATTTCTCCTGAAGACATGTCTATCTTTAGGGCTGAGCTCAGATTTCTCATGCCAGGATAATGAAAGGTGGCGGTGTCACATACGTTGCAGAATCGACACTTCTCTGAACCTGCTGCCCAGAGCAGGTTTTTACAACACATGCTCACGCTCTCCAAGCATGTGGCTATGCGATCATCATTAGTCAGAACCAGAGCAGTTGCTAAATAAATACTCTGTCACAAACAAAATGGGATTTAAGATGAAAAGCTGTGCACAAAGTACCCCGAATTAACACCCAGAGAGACAGGGGCAATCAGTCTGAGGTTTTTGGCTGGATCTAGTGTCATCATCCAACAGGGATATTTTTGTCTCACTTGAAGCTCCACTGGCAACTACATCACTCCCAAAAACAGGGGTGAGCAAGCAGGGACAACCAGGGATGACAGGCTGGGCACAGGGGCAAGGGGCACAAGAAGCAGAGGGAAGAGGGGGCAGTTGTGCAGCCCCAGAGCTCATGCGCCCTCACCTGGGTCCCATCACAAGCAGGCTGTGCAGCTCTGAACGCTTTTCTCTGCCACCTCTACATGCCACCAGGCTGAGGGCTAAGCCCCTAACTCACAGACACAACCACAGATGCTGGGATGGAGTTACGAACTTTCTGGCCCCCTGATATAACTGAACCTCTCTCTCCACTCTCCAGGCAAAGTACTGGTTCACTGCGCGATGGGAATCAGTCGATCTGCAACTCTTGTCCTCGCCTTCTTGATGATCTGCGAGAACATGTCCCTCACCGACGCAATTCAGGCCGTGCGCTCACACAGAGGGATCTGCCCCAACTCCGGCTTCCTCGAGCAGCTTCGGGAGCTGGATCTCCAGCTAGGAAGGGACAAACACAGAGGAGCAGCGCCCTCGGGGCCTGTCTCCTGCTACCAGACACAAAGACACTGGCCAAGCTGAAGATGGGGCACAGATGCTGCGGGGACTTTGCTGTAGCTGCACTGAGAAACTCCTCTGGAAATGGCTGGTAGGAGCTCGGTATGTATTTTTTGGATAAGCCCACTAATTGAAAGAAAATGAAATAAAGAGGGATTCATATTGGAAATTTCGCCCACCTGGGCCTGTTTCTTTAACAACCTGCTGTGCAGGGCACAGGGAGCAGTTGGGTTTTCGTGCAGAATTAAAAGGCAGCACAGCCAACTTGAGGAGACTTTTTACTTGCTCATAATTGCGTTTATATGGCAGGAGGGAAAATGGCTCAACTAGTAAACTAGAAAAAGAAACCATAAGGTTTTCAAGCAATCTTTAACCTTTCACATCCAGCTGGCACAGGGCGGGACGGCACGCTTGGTGAGCTGACACACTCCTTCAGGCACGGTGACACGACCCAGGATCGAGCTCAGGCCCGGGGTTCTCTCTGTGACCAGCCACAGGGGCTCCTGTGGGGATCTTCACTGACCCTCTCAGCTTCAAACCTATGGCGAGGGCTCAGAATGCAGAGAGGGGCTGACAGGAGGGCCAGAGGGGGCAGAGAGGGCTGACAGGAGGGCCAGGCAGATGCTGCATGCCAAGGCCACGCTGCTGGGAAGGAAGAGAGATCAGGAGTGAAGGGAGGCTGCTGCTTGTGTAAGGGGCAAGGAGCACGTGTGGGCACACTGCCTGTGGGGTGGCAGTGCCAGGCGGGGACGTCCTTCTCTTGCCTGGAAACCCTGTGCTCCGCATCACCTTCCCCGGGTTTCCCTGCTACGACTGAAAGGCAGAACCTGGTGTCACTGTGTCAGAGCAAAAATGAGCAATGCCTCTAACAAATCCAAAGTAGCAGCTCTGCTTTTCGATTACTCTTTTACGCCCAATTGGCCACATTTAATCTTGTGAAGAATTCGAAGCAGATATTTGCTTCAGTGCAATTACAGCCACATACAGAACATTGGCAAATGCAAACAATATAGAATTTCCACTTGACGGCAGATTAATTTGGTGTGATGTTTTCCCCTGAGAGGCCTTAAAGGCTTGCAGTTCTGAAAGTACCATGCAGTTCATATTTATAGCACTAGGGATGGTGAACAGAGAGAGAAGCCATTCCCAACTGAAGTTTCTTTTGCCTCCATACATTAAAAAAAAAAATAAAAAAAAATTAACTGAGCATAGCCCACTTCCACTGCACTTCTCATAATGCAATATGGAAACCTGATTTCCCTGCAGAGCCTACAGAGAAATTCAGGTGGTGTTTCTGCCTCCATAAACGCAGTAAGTAAAAAGCAAGCAATGGTACAGACTAACCTCCTCCCAGGGAACAGAGAGATGACTCTTCCCTCAGAACGGGTCCCGTGCTCTGAGACCGGAGTAAGTGGCCAGAAGGGAGGTCACAGCTAACGATGGAAAAATCAGTGGAGTTACAGCTTTCAAAGGCCTCTTACTCCTGCTGCAGCACGGAGGTTGGATTTCAGGGGGCCTGGTGGCTGGATCACTCCTGGCACCTGGGTCTGCCCCACCGAGCTCTGCCTGGGGACCCTTTCCTAATGGAAAGGTCCAGGCCATGCTGAAGCTGTTTTGTGAGCAGTCTTTTCAGCTGCCTTCAGCTCACTGCAGTGCCACAGATGCCGAGCCAAATGGCATTACATTAAAGCAAAAGTGGTGTATGAAACGCTCAAGTCCAAAATCTGTGCATTAAAGCCCGTCGGGACAGGTCAAAATTCCCAGTGAACTGCACACCTGGAAACATCTGTGGGTGTTCATATAAAATGAACAACTTTTCAGAGGGACTGAACCTAAGTCTACCCCTGCTGAGGCCTGTCAGCCACTGCAGGACTGCTTCGGCTGCCCAGGGACAGCCAGAGATGCCCTGCCACATGGACCAGGAAGCCAGGGCACTGCCAAAGCAGGAGCACTGGCTGGGTGGCACAGCTGCAGGTGTATGGCAAAGGCCTGCAGCAGCATGGATGTGCCCCAGCTCACAGGTTGGTCACAACTCAGCAGCCATCATCAAACCCACACGGGTTGCACACTGAAGTGCCTTGCTGCCCCTGTGCTCTAGTCAAGCAGAAGTCTCTTAAAATTACAGCCAGAATCAAGTCAAACAATAAAAACTAAAACCAATATTGGGGGTGGTTCCAGTGTATCTTGTGCTGCAGTTTCTAGAAGCAGAGTTGCTGGCTCACTGCAAGGTGCCAGCTCGCCCTGAGAAACAAGGAATAGCTTCTTTCCCAACAGCTATCCCTGCTGCTAATCAGGAGACTGATCCTGGAGGGCAGCTGCCAGTTTTGCTGCTGAGGACTCAGGTAGAGAAAAGTCCCACTTTCTCCCCCAGAAGTGCATGTCTTCGACATAGCCTGCCATTATCACACTTGTCCAGCACACTGGCTAAATATTACCTGCCCCAAACCATGCTACCAGATACAGGGGTAGGTGATCAGATAGCAGACTCATACATATGGGCAAAGCAGCATTTAGGCCATCATCTTTTCCATGCCTGTTTCTCAGCCAGCACAGAGCAAGTGCTGAGGGTTATTTATGAACACCTCTGCTCTGCATGCCCGTTGAGGAGCGACCTCCAACACTGTGGAGGAGCTGGTGCCTTTCCCACCCAGGAAGCCCCTGAAGGAGGATGGCCATCTTAGCCCCATGTCACAGACAAAGCACCTGGACTTAGCTTGAGCTTCAGCAGGATGTTTGAGGAAAAACACAACAGAATTTCTCTCCAGCCTCCAGAATTGGCACAAAAGCACAGGAATAGTTCTCTCAGTTAAGATATCATGCCTTCTGCAGCTTTTCCTCCCAGACTTTCAGCAATGATAAATACAGAGAGTATTGCTGCGGGCATGTCTGCACTGCATTATTTATCCTTCAGATTTGCACTTAGGGTTTTATTTGTAAAAGGAAAGTGGGACCATAAATCTGTTCTGCAAAGAGCCAGGGGAAGAGAGGATAGAAATTTTCAACAAGTTGCAGTGAAGGAGATGCTGCCAAGGACAGGTTTCTCATGGAAAGAAGTGCCAGCCAAGACATTGTCCAGGTACATGCCATGTGGTGCAGTGGTGACAGCTAAGAGTGTCAGCCTTTTCCTTGCAGGTGCAAGGAAATTTATGTTTCTGCATTACACGGGTTTGTTCCATGTGAGCCAGTGGCTCCCACTTCTGCCTGAGTTTTGGCACTGCACAACAAGACCAGGTGACTTTCTGCTGCCTAGCCCTGTTGTTGGGATCAGATCTGCTCAGCTCCTGCCAGCCTCTCCAGAACTGCAAAGCACTGTCAAGTCTACTTGCCAGATGTTATCTTCTTCCTCCTATTTTCTGTTTCATGCGTCTCCTTGATCACAAGGCTGAGGTGCCACTTACTGCAGAGAGGAGCTTCAAAATAGCATGTGCTTCGCAAATCTACTTCATACCCCGACATTCAAAGAGTATCTGCAGCTCTTGAAGCCAAGTCAAACAGGAATCTATGGCCTGCAAGGCTTTCAACAGTTAAGTTTTCCTCAAGCTACAATTATTTTGCTTATAAACTTGATCCTTGATCCGTTGCAGGAGGCTGCAGTTCTAATAAAGTCAAACAACTTGCTCTTTGCAGCGTACTATTTGTGGTACAAGCATCACTGAGTTATACCGCTCCCCCTCGCTGCTGCCTCCTGGAACCTCGTCTGTTTATACACCGACAGCACTTTCAGGAAGCGCTCCTAAAAATACCCAGTGATGTTAGCTGAGGATCTGGCTCTGGCTCTCCTCCTCCTGCTTCTGTCTCCAGAACATCCCTCCATCACCCTCGTGCTCAACAGCCCTGGCTATTCAAGCTGCCTTATTCCTGTCTCGCCCTTTAAAAATCCCTTATTTTCCTTGCTTCTTTGCTGGTAGCCATTTTGTGCCCTGTTGCAGAGCCCCCTCCATGAGGTGGCCGTGAGGTGTCCCAGCTAATGTTTTCTCACTTGATCACTAAGTTACACTGAAGCCCACATTTTCCTTATCAAATCCTCCAGTACAACTGCTTCTAAGACGTGGGCAGAGCCTCCCTCATACAAAATGCCACTTGTCAAGGGATGGGGGCTTCTGGCTGCTGCACTCGGGTCCTGTTGGCTGCCAGCCACCCTCACAACCAGATATCTTCCGGTGTGTTCGGGGGGAACCCAGCACAGACTGAGATTCACAATGGCATCAAGAGTGATTGACCCCATTGTCAAATTATCCACGTATCATCAATTGACTTGAAAACATATGGAAGAGAAACATTCAGCAGACCAAGTCTGAAAACAAAAGCCAAACTCTGTGTTTTTTTTTTGCTAAGTAATAGACAAAGTCTACTCTTGTGGTTGTGCCCCAGTGTAAAACTTCTGAAAGACAGTAGTGCTCTGCAAGTCCCTCCTTATGAAGACCAAACATCTAAGCCATCTAATTCCTCAATAATTCAGCATTATAATTCATCAGTTTGTCTAATATTAACTATCAACAATGTGTTATTCACAACAATTTACAACCAAAATGATTCACCAAATCCCTTAAGATTACTTGTTGAGGATCAACAGATTTTAGACAAGAATTCCAAAAACCTGAGAAGCACAGAACTGTAAGCAGTGAAATATTGATATTCTTCTACCAAAACATTTAGGTTGCTTACAAAAACAAAGAAAGAAATAATCTCTTTACAAAAACCCCACCCATCATTGGAAAACTATCAGCCAGCAAACAGCCAGCAAGGAATTATTTGCTCAGCTCTGGTGACAACTGGCTGTTACTAGAGTTATTCTGACACATTGTTTTGGAGAACATCTGTTTCCACTCCGACTCCTTTAACTTTCAGATGTGAAAAACAAAAGCTCATTTTCATGCCATGTCTCCCATCTTCAGTTGGCAACAGTTGTGTGATTATGAAGTTATTGTTATGCTGGATGATCTGTTTGTCAGTTTATATTTTCCTATCATACCTATTTTTAGCTGCTCATTAGTAATACTTGGAGCCTCTCCTATAAATCTTAAACATTTATAGCACATCTCGACAATTCATCAAATGGAGCCAACCTCCAAGGAAAGGAAACCCAAACCACTTCCCCCTGCTCAACTGAATGAGATTCAGATCCTTGTCTTTTAAACTTCAAACCCAACATTTTCCCATCTGCTCTTTATACACAACAGCCCTTTTGCTCTACACCAATATTTTATTCTCCATTCATAACTTTTTATTTCCCTCCAGAGGTTTCCTGATGCTTTTAGTCTGCTGGACTCATAGAAGACTTGGATTCTGGAGGGTTCTCCCCCCTCCATTGAAGGGGAAAAATAATCATTCAGCAATGAATGGCCACTTTTCATTACTCATTCACAAGAGAGACACAGCAGGGTGCCAGGACTGGACTTGAAGACACTTTTCTTAGCCATTCTCATGAGAGAGAAACAGCATTTTTAATCAGAGACTACTGGAAAATTAAATTTACTTTTTACCTTCTGTTCTATTCACTGACTTGCATTTCTAATGCTCTGTCCATGCATGTATATAGCTATCAATCAGCTGCAGCATTTTTGTAGTGATGACCACGCCTGGTAGTTCCAGTCCACGTGATTTGGACCGGTCACCTACGCAAGGAACACTTCTAAGGGGCTCAGTCTACAACAGCCAATGACAAGAAAACTGCAAGAAAAAATAATCAGGAAACACTGCCTGGCTGAGAGGTTCTCAGGAGAAAATCTCCCCTCATGAAGACATGCCACCACTGCCAGGCAGGGGCTCTTGGCTGCTCTCCTCTTCACCTCTCCTAGGGGAATCTCAGCCTCGCCAGCTCTGCACATTTGAAGCCTATGCAACACGTTTCTCAGATGGAACTGTTAATTGTCTGTACGTAATTAGCTGATACTCGGCTGGAACACACAACTGATTGTTAATCAGACTGACCATCTTTTTCATCTTCGACATATTTAAATGAATCAAAGGAGACATCACGTTACAAGAAATGAAAATTGTATGAAGGAAAACAGTGCTGGCATACACGTTAGGCTAATAGAGTAGATTTAATTTAAAAGGCTCATCTGATCAGGCAGAATAGCTGCCTGGTGCTTTTCAAGGAGGCAGGGAGTGATTGGGAGAAGGCAGTAAACAGAAAGGCATATTTGGATTTTTTCTGAAGTCGCTTTTCATCAACTCTCACAACTCTCCAATTCACCTTATGTCTTTTTCTACTGTCATCTTTCATTGTTAAAAAAAAAATAATAATAATAAAAAAGCTTTAGATTAGACTCAGTTCTGCTTTCATGTGGTTACAACCTGACTTTAAGATCACTATAACCTCCAGGAAGTCCTTGAGCTCCTACCCCATCCTGCTTCACACCACAGACATGCGCTGTCAATTTACCTGCATCTTCGCTATTCCACATCCTTTTGATCAGATGTCAAGTATCAGTGCAGTAACAGTCCATCTGGCCAGTCATCCAAAAGCATTTCAACAGATGAATACTAATATATCTTTATCAGGCTAGTCATGCTGATGACAGTCATCCCAATGCTCAGAAATGCCTGCCTGCCAATGAAGGTGCTGGCTTGCTAAAAAATAAAGAAATAAGAAAGAAAGAAACTCAGAGAAAAAAAAAATAAGATCATGTCAGGCTAAAAAAAATCTGTATAGTCTAGTAGTTATCCCATGCAGCATATTACATGAGCGCTTCTGGAGTGCTCTGGTTATACTGGCAGAATACTGCACACTGAAATACCAGCTCTCAATGTGTAGCAGATATTTTGGAAAGACAGCAACTGTGCAGGCAGGAAAACCAACATTAAAACATCATCTCCTCAACAACTTTTCCCATTAAAAGTACGCCACAACCCCTACAACTTCTTTATTTATTTATTTTTTAATTCAAGCATAAGATTAAGCTAAAGATTGACACAAATCACATAGTCCAAATCTTATCCTGATTAGGGACCTGGAGTCTTAAGGTTTGCTATGGCAATATCCACCTTGGATCCAGAATCGCAGCTAGGCTCAGGCATGCACACAAATCACCCCTTTATCAACCCAAACAAGACCTGAACCTCCGCCAGCCCCAGATGTTCTGAACTCCTCTCTCGCCCCCACCCTTTCCATTGTGAGACTGTCTTTATAAAGCATGGGATCTTTTTATTACTATTATTTGTTTTAAAGTTAATTGTTTTCATGATTTTTTTGACAAAGTCAATAAACTTATATTTCTCTTCCGCTCCCCTGCCAAAGAAAGCTGAGTTTCTGCGGTAGATTTAGGAGTGCGTACCACGTTGAGACATGAAAAAGCTCCAAGAGCTAGAGCACTGCCACCTGGTACACCACAGACATGTCCTAGGGCTAAAGCAGCTGGGAGCACATGCTGTTTCATTTATTTCGCTATGCCTTAAAATGAGCAGTGCTAGGGAAAGATGTATACATGCATATATATTACAGCATCATCAAGATCCTTGACATTGGGACGTTTAGCAAAGCTCTTTGCTTACTAGTGACTCCAAGCCTTGCTCTGTCAGTTTTGGGGAGGAACAGCCCTGTGTGAGCTGCCAGCCACACTAAGATCACCAGTCAAACTGAGATGATTCCCACCAGAAAAGGGAAATTTGACCAGGCCCTGTGTTATCACATACAAACTGATGGAACAAATCTGTGTTTCAATTTGAAAGGAATCATTTACTCACAGAGCCATAACCAATCAATTTATTTTTTTAAACATCTGGAAAGGCCACATAATAATGCAATTTATGCAAGGCTTCAGTCGTTAGAAAGAAGATTTAACTGCTTTAGCCTGTAAGATGACGTGCAGATCACCCAATTTTGAAGCTATCTCTTCAGCAGCAATGTTACACAAACACACTGGGGTAAGTTTGACTGTAAAAGCAGGGAGAAAGTTGACCACCACTTAAATACAAGACTTATGATGAGCCATGGACATTGTCCGAAGGATCCCACTTGTAACAACAAAACCAACATTATTTGGTTTTGCAACTAGTAGTATAAACACTCCATGGCATCAAGAATCCCAGAAACGGGGCAGGATGCAGGGGGATGTGCTGGGACAGGCACCCCTGTGCCAGCCCCCCTGAACCCCAACTCATCGTGTCCAAAAGTCTGAGCTCTGATCTCGCCTGTTGCTCCTGAGCACAGTGATGCTTCACCCAGGTAGCTTTCCACAAGCATTAATAAGGGCTGGAGGTTTTCACTGCCCTGTCATGACTGCCTGAAGGATTTAGAGTGCAAGCTGAAGACTTTTAATAATTTCTGCCACTGCAGCATAGCAGGGCTCTGGAGACACTGACTGTATTTATAGCAGCCTGAAAATTGCACCTCTTCTCACCAACTGAACCAGTTCCCTGAACCGAATGCTGCAGCTAATTGAGAGAAGACTGTCATACACCAGCAGCTAAATTTACTGCTAGTCCTCGAGATCGGCTTGTGCTGACTGCATTGTGACAGCAGTGTCTAAAGGGAGGTCATGCTCATTTCTAAATTTTCCCTCTAGGAACAAGAGTTTCTTCTGCATCTGCACTGTTAGGTTTCTATTTATAGTCTTGAACCCTGTGATGTAACCTTCCTTTTTGTTTCCAAGGAAACAATATTTGATGTATTCCACTTTCATGTTTTTCCTCCTTTAGGGTTCCCCCCCACCCCTCTCTCCCTCCCTTTTTTAAAGAGATAAGTCAATAGGTAAAGCCTGTACTTATCTCTGGTGTGCAGCATAGTTCTCTCTCTAAAACCAGGCTTTTTCTTATCACTGAAAAATTCAAGTCATTTCAAAAATACGCTTAGCAGTAATTCTATGCACTATTTATACATATTACTTTTCTAATAGTAAATGAACCATAATTGCAATAGGCATCAGCTTCTGCTCATTTTCCTGAAAAACTTCAGTTCTGTACCTCACACCCAAGCCCTCTTTTCCTGGAAAGGTTTTTCAAATCCCCCTGCTTACCACCCACCCAGCTTTCCACCAGTTTTACTCCTCCCGACGTCCTGTGCCCTTCCCTGCACCGCCTTTCAGGCAGCAGGAGTTCCCTTCCACCGTGCTGCACGCTCCTCTCTGGCACGGGGCACTTGTCTCAGGGCTGTTGTCATTTTGAGTTCATTTTCATTCACTTGAAATTCTCCAACATGAATGTTCTTTTAAAACACTCAGTTGACACTTTGCTATCTGTTAATTATGAAATGTAGGGGATCGAGGCCATCATTCATGCTGAAATCAGCACCTGCAGCAGCTGGAATAAAGCACACTGAAAAGATTCGTGGAAAAATGCAGGTGCTTGGGAATCTTAATAGAAGAGCAACGGGTTATGCTACAGGCTTAAAATACTCAGTGCTAACATGGTAATGTGGATGGGCTGAAAGGTGTGGGAGAGCCTGGCTGGCTTCACAAAAATGAATACTTTAACACTGCATAACAATTAAGAGTAGCAATGCTCAGAGCATAAATGTTGTTGATCAATTCTGACTGGGAAACAGATGCACTCATTTGTTACACTCCTGCCTTGTGCCTCAGTGACAGAAAATAATAAATGAGCTGGACTGATGATCTCTTCTGCTCTATGGACAATAAAGTTACAGACAGAATTTTTTAGCAGTCCCCATTTTGGAGCATAAAAGGGCAGGTAAAATCCCAACCCAAATGCTATGATGTGGACCGAGAACATCCAAAAACAGTTTGCATGGTAAAGTGGAAAAAAGGTGACAAAACACAGACCTACAGTCAGCAAATATTAACAGATTTTGCACTATTAAAGAAAGGTCAGAAGTGAACATGGAAATAATCTGCAGTCAGCATGTGCCATTGTCACAGAATCACAGGTTGTGATTCTAGGTCATAAGGGCTGCAGACTAACACCTATCAGCTCCTGTGTCACCTCTGAAAAAGCTCAGGCTCTTTTCTTTGAGGTATCTGATATTGACTAAGAAGCTCCAAGTCATTCCATAAATCCTCTGACTTGGCAACAGCAAGAGGCATGGGATGGGAAGACTTAAATGATCTAGATCTCTGCCACCATATCTGTATCCTCTAATAAATAAATAAGTAAATAAATTCCTGAAACCCCTGAAAATCAAGGGTTTCTCACATTCTGCATTCCTGCTGGAAGCTGTTTCAGAAGCCACTTCTCTCCTCACTAGAAATCTTCTTAATTCCACCCCAAAAGCATTCATAGCCAGTTTCGTCCCAAAAGATCACAGCTGTTGTCAAGCTTTCGTGTCTCTCAGTCCAACCATGGCTTAATCACCAGACAACACTGCCTCCTTCCCAGTGGTTACTCAGTCTCTTGAACAACCTCAGTAAAAATCACTTTTGACAGCATGGGAAACAGCAGCAGGCTTCAAATGTTTGTCACAAGGTTTTGTTCATTTACTTCTGCAGCAAAATATTTCTGGTAGCTAAAACGCAGAGCACATTTCATGGTCTAGCAATGCACTGCTTTAGAGATTGTGGCTCTGTAAAGGAAAAGCTTTATCAAGTTTGTTTGTATCTCAAAGACGCTCCTTGGCACTGGACAGGTCCAATTGGGTCTCAGTAAATCAAATGCTTATTTGATGTCAGTGAAGCTAAGATTCGACTGCTGTTTTGCTCAAGGTTGTCAGAAAGCTTTTCGGTAATCACTTTCAGCCAGAATAGATGCTCAATTGTTCTTCTTTCCTGCTGCAAGGGGGAAAAAAGCAGCAGCTTGCTCTTCCTCAATAATTCCCTCATATTTCATTTTTAATCTCTTAAGCAAATTACAAGTGAAGACCTTTGATGTACGCGCCAGCCAAACTCATTCATTTCTCAGTACTTGCTGGACTAGAGAGGATCTCCCGTTCTTATGCATGTGGATGATAATAACAACTTCAAAGCCCCCAGGCATGTGTTAGCTTTCCCTGATTTCCTTTCTAAGTATGCGTTTTGTGGGCCAACACCAGTTAAGACCCATAAACAGCTGCAGTTGAATGCCATCTATTAAGGCAGCCTCGCTATCTCTCATAGTGTAACAATTCTGTTTCTACTTCACAGAACGACTCGGTCTGGTTTTTGTATTTTCCCTGAAATGGAGTACCTCATTTCCAACATTTATGGCGTTCTCAGCTTGAAAGAGTCTGGAACCTGATCAAACTCTGAGCAAAAAGCCATTAAAAGGCACTTGCCCTAAGGTGGCGTGGAGCATTCCTGGTGGATTACGAGGCATTGTTTTGCTGTTGTGGGGTTTTATGACATGAAGTGTACTTGATTACTTCTACGCAGACAGTAGGTTGCAGCCACATGGTACC